TGTGGACTGATGTGGACTGATGTGGACTGATGTGGACTGATGTGGACTGATGTGGACTGATGTGAACTGATGTGAACTGATGTGAACTGATGTGAACTGATGTGAACTGATGTGAACTGATGTGAACTGATGTGAACTGATGTGAACTGATGTGAACTGATGTGAACTGATGTGAACTGATGTGAACTGATGTGAACTGATGTGAATTGATGTGAATTGATGTGAATTGATGTGAATTGATGTGAATTGATGTGAATTGATGTGAATTGATGTGAATTGTTGTGAATTGAATTGATGTGAATTGAATTGATGTGAATTGATGTGAATTGATGTGAATTGATGTGAATTGATGTGAATTGATGTGAATTGATGTGAATCGATGTGAATTGATGTGAATTGATGTGAATTGATGTGAATTGATGTGAATTGATGTGAATTGATGTGAATTGTGAAGGTTTTTCGTCAAATCAGTTTTTCATGCACTTTCTTTCAAAACCCGACATCAAGTTGAAGTCACTTGAATTCCCTTTGATTTTGAGCACCCACGTTGAATTTCAGAATCACTTTTTGGGGCTGCCAAATCATGTTCACATCGCCTTGTTTGCATTATCCGATTCTTGCAAAGGAGTGAGCATCGGCCGGAACAGACGGATTCTCCCAAGGTGTTGGACTAGCCCCTGTTGTTCGACAAAAAGTTTGGAGTTCTACCTGATTTTGGGATTTGATTAAAATCAACATAAATGATATAAATGTATAATAAAATGGCCCAGTATTGGAAGCTCTCTCAGATGAGTTGGCATTTCAGAACAAGTTGGTCGAACGAACAGATCTGGATTAGATTTGTTCGGTGAATGTCTTTGAGTATCCCAATTTTGGTGGGGAATCGCCATTTACCCTCAGCGCATTGACATAAGACCGAATATGGATTTGCCTTGCCCAGGACCCCTGCAATGCATCAAGTTGTGCATACACCGATTGTGAATGATTTCGGGTCCCCAATTTGAAGAAACACCTATATCAATTATGTTTACTGGATATGTCCGAACTGGAGGACATATCTAAACTGATGTACTACACCATATAGGATCGGACTTGGAGAGATATTACATGTGCTTCACATACAGTAGGCCTTGTATGGATCAGTAGCGTTTCTTTCCAGCAGACTCTGGTGGTGCCGAGGGCCGAATCATACTTTGACATGCTGGCGGTGCCGCTGCGCGTGTCCGACAGGCCCGACAGTCTGCGGCCCTCTGGCATTTCCGGCATTGCCAGTGCCGATAGTGATTTGTGGATTATTCATATTATTCTCAGTTGCTGAGTCTGGTTTTGTTATTTTACTTTGCCTTCATGTTTCAGTTTTTGATTATATTTAATTATGTATAATTACTGAGGGACCCAATGGTATGACATCCAAACTTGGGGTTTGCTACTGGACAATCCTGTTCGTGTATGATTATATCGTTGCCACACTACAGCAGTACCGATAATTGTGTGCTGGACAATGGAAGATTGGTGGTTGGCCCTGCCCTATCCATTTCTTCCTTGCAAAGAAGAGTTCCTTCGAACTCCTTAGGAGTTAAGCTTACATGAACTGATCCCCGGAAATTTTCTTTGGCTGGAAATCCCATGCTTGAATCAGAAGGTCACTTGCAAAGAAACGGGCTTTGCTAAGTGACCATGTTGCTTGAACTAGGATAACTAGGGATAGAGTCCTCAAATCTCGCAGATGGTCACGATTTGCCATATTATGATATATTGTGGGGATGGGACTGGTCAAAACCTTCTTTTCCTGTACATCTTGTGGGGATGACCACCGCTTTACCGACTGAGGAGCCCTTTCACTGGCCGGGCCTACGTGATGACACAGCTCTACGCTGGGGCCATAGCTGTGATGGTTGGTATAGCTGGCAACTGGGAGATCTTCCACTTTGAGCCCATTTTGACCAATGTCCGGGGTGGTAGTTGAGTCAGGAATTTATATAATCATATATATATATACACATATATATATACATATATTTCAAAGATCATCTTGTATACAGTACTGGCATCCTGCATCCTTGTGGTGTTTCGGTGATGGTTTGCGCGGGAATTTGTTTCCTGAAATTCAACTATGATCTTAATGGGCTGTTGTAAAAGATGGCAGGTTCTTGCCCAGAAAACGAAGACGATGGTAGTTTGAAACGCGGATGTGGAAGTTCCAGGGTTGAAGTCACAGTTGAAGGGCTTACGCGGTAGAACCACCCGAGCTGGGATGGGTATCAGCTGGCTTCATGCTTGGAGCTGACGAACGTAGTGATTCACTACTTATATTGGGATTATATATCCCCCACAACTGGTGTGTTTCGGTTTCTTTCCTTCTCGAATCCTAGAGTTGGATGAACCTGGCAAAGCCCCATATTTGCTGCTAAGAAGGCGAACCCCAACCCCGGTGAGTGTCGAGTGTGCCAGGTGAGCTACTTCTTCAAACTCATAGGCTACATCATCAATGTGGCAAAGGGGAAGGCCTGGGATATACTGGGTCGAAGGGTAAACTGCTGTGAATACCCTCTGGCAAACCAACATGGCCATGGAAAATCACAAAATTTCACAGGTATATAAGCCAACTATAAATGGGCAATTTTCCATAGCAAAAACATGCAAAAACTATTACATTACAAGAGGTAGTAGGTCTTAGTCTTAGGTGTGTGCCTGGTTTATCTCAAACTTTGATGTACGAAAGGCATTCCTGCTAGGAGATGTGCAAGGTCAGTGGGCAAGGGTTGAGTGTAATTGTCAAATTGCCCGTGGCAAGATAATTACTGGTTTGGGCGGTCCACAGGCTACTGTGGGGCTGTAGATTATACAATCATGATTAATTATGTTAGTTGCTTCATTTGGAAAGTTTTACACTGCCATTGGTATGTCTTTCTTGATGGGTCCCAAGGGGCAGTGCATTTCCTGACCCTGGACCAGGCAAAGTTCCCCCCAGATTTCTCAAAGATGCTGGTGGGGAACCCAGCACTGAGAGTATCTCTAGGATGCGAACAGGCTTTTCTTTGTCAAATGATTGCTGTGTGGTTTGTGTTTCTTCTCTCTGAATTCATAAATGTAGCATATGTAGCAAGCCACCATAAGCCACCAGAGGGTGATCCCTATCTTTGTTGCTGAGCCCGCCCAGACGCCACCAGCTGGCGCTGGCGCTGGCACCAACCCCTTGGGGGCGAATCCTTTCGCAGCTGGGAAGCCAGGGGAAAACCCTTTCGCCTGGGGACTTAATCACCGGCGCAAATGTCCAAGAAGTTGGGGGGTACTCCAACAGGGGTCCATTTTGAAGCAGATTCCGTGAGAACCAATTTGAGTGGATTTGGATCGATTTATGCCCAAAGCTTGGCTATTTTCATTGGGGAAGAGGAGGATTTGGAAACGAGATGCAGCTGGAATCTAAGGATATGACGAACCCCTTCGACGTATCCCCAGCCGGGGCGCCTGACAGATTCACAGGTCTCGAAGAGCGCGGAATGGTTTTGCCAGAAATCTTTACATGTTATTCAATGTTATTCAAACTTATTTACACTATTTACCAGGATCCAGGATTTACCATATTTACACACCAATTTACACCATTTCTACACCACCTTCATGTTGAGTATCTTTACATGCATTCAATCCTGTGCATATTGATGACTTAAAAGTGCTCCTTTTTGATTCTGTGGAAGGTTGCAGGTTTTCTTCAGCAAATAATATAATATATATTTATACATACGTACATGTACACATACAATTATAAATTATATATATATATCCGCCACATCATTTTCTTCAGGTAGAGTGATGACGTCGACGTTTTAAATGCGGCCCATCCCAGGTTGAGCAATACCAGAGTCCACCGGTCATTGGCTCAGGGAAGGGTTCCACAGAGGGTGATCATCTATGATCTTACAGGACCTCGATGTATAAATCAATTTTCAATGGATTGGTTTACACAAGGGAGAATTTACAGGAACCCTCCATATTTCATGGGAATATCCATAGTTTCCTCTAGATTTTCCCTTAAACCAGTCCATTGATCGATGGAATTGAAACAGCCGTTGGACCATTCCAGGGCCTTTCAAAAGGCCGGCATGTTTCGTCCAGCAGCTGGCGTCAAACACAGCAGCATCTCCTGCCAGAAACCACTACAAGACCGGTATACAGCCGGCATATGGAAAATGTGTGAAACTGTATTATATACAAACATATATATTACATGTATATCTGCAGTCTATGTATATATATATACATATGCTATATATATATATATGTGTGTGTGTGTATGCGTGCGTAGGGTGAAAGCAATCAGGGATGATGGCTTTGTGGGTCAACTTCGAACCATCCTTTCGGATCAGAATTTTGCCACAGACTGCCCAAATAATCCCATACCCTTAACATCCCTTAACAGCCTTAACATTGAACATCCCTTGAATGGTCCCAAATATGTGCAAATCCCCTATTCAACCATGGTTTCTTGAAGGTGTTTGATATTAGAGGGATGGGCCATGGGGCTATTTTGAATGTGGCCATCTTGTGGCTGTTGTATACAAGTGATATGGCATGCAGCTTTGCCGGATTGCATTGCATCACTGATGACTTGTGAAATTTTCTAGCCTCAGAGTAAGCCACCAACGAGTATATACTATACATGGACTTGACAGCAACAGGCATCCGCAAATCAACTGGCTTTGCACCATTTTACCTATTCAAATTGCTGTTTTCTCGGGGAGCCATACCCCGTTCTTCAGACACACCCTCAATCACCCGTATCAGATATTCCCATCAGATCCCTGTGAGATTCCCATTTTTGGTTGGTTTTGCACCACCATTTTCAGATGCACCCATATAATTTTCCTGGTTGACATCACTTAATATCCCCTATGCATCTAACATTATATAACTATATATAACTCTAATATACCCATCAAACCGCAATTTATTGCTTAAACCCCTACTTGTTGGTGAAGATCTACCGTTTTCAGACACCCATGGACGAACTGGAGGTGCAGCCCACGGATCTGCCGACGGTGCCTTGGCGCTACTCACTTCAGTGTGTTGTTTTTTTCCCCCTTACCTGGGTCGCCAAAAAAAAAGGGGAAGATGATTGGTTACCCTTCTGTATTTGAACGGCCAAAGACCTCGTTATCAGAATATATAGTTGTATTATGTTATATTGATGTAGAATACAAATGGCTTAAATTCCAACAAGAAACCGTATACCAAGATTCTGGTTCATTATTGGATCTATGAAATTGCAGGGGAGTGTGAATATGTGTGAATCTAGTCCATAGCCCATAGCCCATCCATGTACCAGATATGCACTATAGTCTATCCAGACCACTGGGATGCACTGGGATATTCATTTAATTTCATGTATATATATATATGTACATAGACACACACACATATATATATATATTAATTTTAACATATATATATATTAATATATATATATGTACATGTATACATATATGTATATATGTATATACGCACACGCTTTGGCAAACTGGCTAGTTCGGTGGTTTCAGGTACACACATACACACACACACATAGACATATAGATATACACTATGATTATTATTACTAGATATTACTACAACTATTTGATAGTATGTATATCTATGTCAACGATGTATATAGATGCGCTGATCTAGAAACCTTCTTTGAGATGGCCGAGCCACAACATATTGGAATTTCTCCAGATCATCAATGACCGCCCGAGGCTCCCACCGTCGGTTCCCCGCCGGCCCGAAAAGTGACGCAAGAAGTGTCGACGACGCCAATGGCGCCGGGCAACCTGGATGGCCAGCTGGGAAACCCCTCATGGAGGTTTTAATGGGAAAAATCATTCATAATCGGGTCATTCTCCATACTGTATGTTAGGTTACTGGAGGGTATCATCATGAGCAGAAATCCAATTTTGTCCTGTGATTGAATTTCATTTGAGAGTTTTGGAGGCATACACTGACAACATCAGTCTTCACGATGAAACCGCTGGTTAGAAGTCGGATGAGGTCGCTTGTACTAGCAACATTTTCTATTGGCCCACGTAGCCAAATTCTCACCCAACGGTTTCTAGGGATGCAACAACCCAGAAATGTATTGACAGGCTCTGCCAAAAAATCACAATCAATGGCCATGGGGTCCTTGTCCTGGATTTCCTAAAGATTGGTTTTTGGTTTATTTTCTATTTTTGTGTGGGCTTTGTTTCAGCAAGTCTAAGATAATACTAATTTGAATTTTGCAGTGGTAGTTTCATAGTAACTACTGTACAGCCTTTTTCTGAGGCTGTATGCCTTTTTTCTCCTCCCCTCTTATGTATACATATATATATATTATTTATCTATATCTATAATTATATATATATATATGGGGGTTTCCTAAAATAGGGGTAGCCCTAAATCATCCCTGTTTTAATAAGATCCATTCTAAACCATCCAGCGGGTTCCTCCATTTATGGGGTTCCCCCAATGGCCGGTGAGGCCTCTGACTGTGGAGCAGGTTCCCAGCGAGAAGAAGTCGCCCGGGAGGCCATGGATTTTTTCATGGAGATTTTACCACTAGGAGATCACCTATATTAGTGAAGATTATATATACTAATGGGATATACATATATATATAATGTTATATATATAATATTAATATATTGCCAACTATATTGTCAAAGATTTAAAGGAAGTTGGGAAGCAACACTTCCGTGTTATGGACAAATAGAATTGTGAGACTTGACATTGATGAAGGGCGGTGTGAGACTTGAAATCACATTGTGAGACTTGACATTGCTGAAGGGCGGTGTGAGACTTGACATCACATAACAATACACCACAAAAGAATAATAGGCTATGACACAGGGTGGTGACGAAGGGCAGTGGTGACCTAGGGAAATGGTGACTTTGGGAAGTGGTGAGGAAGGGAGGTGGCGACGAAGGGAGTGTGGTGACTTGGGAAGCGGTGACGAAGGGAGTGTGGTGACTTTGGGAAGTGGTGACTTTGGGAAGTGGTGACGAAGGGAAGTGGTGACAAAGCGAAGTGGTGATGAAGGGAAGTGGTGACGAAGGGAGTGTGGTGACTAAGGGAAGTGGTGACGAAGGGGGTGTGCTGACTTTGGGAAGTGGTGACTTTGGGAAGTGGTGACAAAGCGAAGTGGTGACAAAGCGAAGTGGTGATGAAGGGAAGTGGTGACGAAGGGAGTGTGGTGACTAAGGGAAGTGGTGACGAAGGGGGTGTGCTGACTTTGGGAAGTGGTGACTAAGGGAAGTGGTGACGAAGGGAAGTGGTGATGAAGGGTGGTGACGAAGGGAAGTGGTGATGAAGGGAATGTTGCGAACCGCATTGTAATGGCTGCATGAATGTTGCATGGGCTTTGTTTTGGGGAGGAGGCCGGAGCACGAAACCTTGCGTTTTTCCGTGTAAAGTGGCTGCGGCCGGCGATGAAAGGTACATCGTGTGTGCGGCGGTTGCGGCTGCGGTCGTTTTGGTTCCTCCTCTGTGTTCTGCAACGAGCGGTGGTTCCTGTCTGCGTAGTTCTATGCGTTTCTTGAATCCGTGGCAGCTGGACATCGTAAATCGTATTGGAGTGGCTGCATCAAGGCTGCGACAGTGATTTGTCAGCAGATTTTCTCAATTTTGGTGCTAGTAGTTTTCCTTTAAAAAGTCCTTGTAAAAAGTGCTTCAAAATCGTCTTTTTTTCCCTTTGGCGTCAAGATCCGGTTTTGGAGTTGCAATTTCCGACGCCGTTGCACGTAGTTCTATTGTGTTTTGCAATTCAGTGTTGCAGATCGCATTGTCGTGGCTGCGTCAAGGTTGCTTCGTCCCGCGGCTGCATGCGTAATACTATTGTCTTTTGCAGCTGGATCTCGTAAATAGCAGTGATTTGTCGGCAAATTTTGTCAATTTTGGCGCTAGCAATTTTCCTTTCAAAAATGCTTCAAAATTGTCTTTTTTTCGCGTTGGCGTCGAGATCCAGCTTTGGAGCTGCAATTCCTGTTGTGCTTATGTACAAAAAAGCTTCTCTGTGTAAAAACTTTTTTCTGTAAAAGCTTGCTGTGTGTAAAAGATTTTGTGTGTAAAAGCTTGCTGTGTGTAAAAGCTTCTCTGTGTGTAAAAGCTTCTCTGTGTAAAAGTTTCTGTGTGTGTAAACGCTTGCCATGTGTAAAAGCACTGTGTGTAAGTGTTCTCTGTGCAAACGCTTGCTGTGTGGAAAGCTTGCTGTGTGTAAAAGCTTCTCTGTGTAAAAGCTTGTTGTGTGTAAAAGCTTCTGTGTGTAAAAGCTTCTCTGTTCAAAAAGCTTGCTGTGTGTAAGAGCTTCTCTGCGAAAAAAACTTGCTGTGTGTAAAAGCTTTCTTTGTGCAAACTTTGTGGTACAAAGTAGTACTGGGACGTACTTTGTGCAAGCTTTTGTGGTACAAAGTAGTACTGGGAAGTACTTTGTGCAAGCTTTGTAGTACAAAGTAGTACTGGGAAGTGCTTTGTGCAAGCTTTGTAGTACAAAGTAGTGCTGGGAAGTACTTTGTGCAAGCTTTGTAGTACAAAGTAGTGCTGGGAAGTACTTTGTGCAAGCTTTGTAGTACAAAGTAGTACTGGGAAGTGCTTTGTGCAAGCTTTGTACTACAAAGTAGTACTGGGAAGTACTTTGTGCAAGCTTTGTAGTACACAGTAGTAGTGGGAAGTGCTTTGTGCAAGCTTTGTACTACAAAGTAGTAGTGGGAAGTACTTTGCGCAAGCTTTGTAGTACAAAGTAGAACTGGAAAGTGCTTTGTGCAAGCTTTGTAGTACAAAAGTAGTACTGGGAAGTGCTTTGTGCAAGCCTTTGTAGTAGGCAGTAGTACTGGGAAGAAGCTTGTGCAAGCTTTGTAGTACAAAGTAGAACTGGAAAGTGCTTTGTGCAAACTTTGTAGTACAAAGTAGTACTGGAACGTGCTTTGTGCAAGCTTTGTATTACAAACTAGTGCTGGGAAGTGCTTTGTGCAAGCTTTGTAGTACAAAGTTTTTCGGGAAGGCTTTTGTAACGTATGTACATGCATCTGCGTCTCAAGTGTCTGTGTGCAAAAACTTTCTGCACCCAATGTTTTTTTTGCAAGAGACTTCTCTCTGACAGAAAGAGCTTTCTGGCGTGCAGAACAGCTAAGATGAGTGGAGACGAACTTCAAGGAGATGAGAAAGGTTGATCAGCGCTCGGATGAGATGAAAACAGTTGAGAAGAACTTACTTAGATGACATGTGAGAAGAGATGGGATGAGATGAGAAGAGCTGAGATGAGGTGAGAAGAGCGCACATGATTTGAGATGAGATGAAGTGTCGAGTGCGAAGTGCAAGTGTGAAGTGCAAGTGTGAAGTGTGAAGAGTGCAGTGTGAAGTGTGAGGAAAGTCATCGCTTGGCGTTGCATTGCGCCGGGGTCGCGCGCAGGTCATGTTCTTGGACAACAACACTGCAACAGCTTTGCACTAAGCACGCGCGCACGGGCCTGGCTGGCGCACGGCGCATGCAAAATTCTATATATAGATGGGAAAGGTCTTATAGTATATCCCTGAGGCAACTTCCGCCCCGCCTCGTGCGGGTACTACTGGTATGCCTCGTGCGGGTACTACTGGTATATGATAAATAAATATGTATATCAATATTTATATATATAGTCTATATACAGCGCCCGACAGAATTATGGAAAAAACGTTTCAATTTACAGGCGCCGCCTGTCTATGATAGAAAAGTTACGAACCTTTTTTTCCATAATTATTTTTTCCATAATTATTATTTTTTCCATAATTCTGTCGGTGACTGTATGTCCATCGATTCGCAATTTGAATGCATTTTAAGGGGGAATATTGAATTATAGAAAATATGTGTCTAAAGATCTGGTATATGCCCCTAAGTCTTCCATTGATATACAATTGCACCACCAAAACTCATTGTTGTACGTACATACATATGCGGGATGTATCCTTTTGCCAAGCCACCAATTGGGTTGATACTACATACTTGCATTTGCATACATATTTCCATAACCCCCAAAAAAAGGGGTTTGAATTGTGGATCCATGACATGTCCAACAGGTGGAGCCCCAAACATTAATTATGGAAAAAATAATTATGGAAAAAATAATTATGGAAAAAAATAATTATGGAAAAACCGGTCAATCTGCCCTAGCCCCCTGATTTTACAGGAAAAATCAATTATGGAAATAATGGCCACCTCCAAGAATTATGGAAAAAAAAAAGGTTCGGATCACTTCCGGGATATTTTGAACCCTTATGGGGAAAAACCCAATTATGGAAAAATCGGACGCAGGCGCCGCCTGTCTAAGTTGAGCGTTTTTTTTTTCCATAATTCTGTCGGTTACCATATATGTATATGTGTGTATCTATGTATATGTGCAACTGTTGTTAGATATGTCTGAATTTAATCACACACACAGAGATGCATATATCTACGTACATATGAACCCATATATACCATAGATAGATTTGGATATAGAAAGATTAATACATGCATACTTAAATATTCATTTACGTTAACATAACACACACATATATATATATATATACACACCTACATGTTTATGAATTTTTGGGGTATCCCAAGAGGATGAAAAAGTGAGAAGGCTGCCATCAGTGTTCAAAATCGTATTTTTTTTCCTGTTGTTAGTGATGTCTAGAACTGGTTGGAGATTCAAATGGTGGTTGAAACATATTTCAGCAGTAGTAGATGGGAAATTCACCGACCAACTATTGTGGACATGATAAAGCCTGAACTGGTTGGCGCATTCAAAAATACAGCGAAACTTGGGTTTTCTTGGTTTCATCGCCAGAAATGGGGATAGAACATGCATGTTGCATACTGGATTTACCCATGCTGGGATTTAATGGGATGGTTAAAATTTAATTTGTTCCCTTCTTTAGAGATGGTATGATGATCGCACTTGATTTTCAGTTTTCTTTGGTCAAACGTTTTTTTGGTTTTGGGTCTCAAGTATCTTCTTTTTTTCATCGACGCATGTGATGATGATCATCCCTGCCTATTTTTTGACGGGGGATTGCGACTTTGAGCTCCATCCAATGATTGAGAATGGTGGCAGACACCACTCAGGGAATCACTACATAAGCATGAACACAAACCACTCTACTGAGATCTGCTGGGTAGACCTTGATTTGGCGTATATACATAGGTTCTGCTTGTGACTATACTCCCTACTGCAATACGTATATTAATACGATCTACAGTGATCTACATGTCTATATGCTACAGTATATATTGATATATGAATACATCATATTCCCCTGACAGATCTCTTCATTGCTATATGCGATCAGTGCACCGGGTGCACCGAGTGCGCGTGGAGGAGTCGTCCTCCCGTGGTGGATGCTGACGTGACTTTCTTGGACTGAGCCACTCAAAGCAGCAGTAAAAACCATCGCTGAGCCACTAGCTCGGCTGGTAATTTAAACTTGGATGGGGGGCCCGAATTTTCGAAGTGGGATTCGAGTGGAACATGTTAGTGGATTTTCCATTGGTCAGATTGGGCAACCGGATAGCCTAAGAAAGAAGTTGGAAGCTGAACTTCACCCCCAACTTTCACCTTGTTTCTTCCTAGCAAAAAATGAAGTTGGTAGGGAGAGGCCCGCAGGTGGTTTCAAATCCACCTGGTTGATGACTGGCAGTTCAGCCGGCGACAAGGGCGAGCTTTGGCAGCCTCACTCATGAACTCCGAACCATGTTCATTTTGATCACATTGATCACATTTTATTGAATTATATAGATCGAACCATCGAATCCTTTCGGATGTCTCAAAACTGACCCAGTGTTCTTGATCATAGCTGATGTACAGATTTTTCAGTGACTTTCACATTGGCATGATTTGAGATGATGTTCACACAGCGTTTTGAACGTTTGCTTCTCTTGGACCCCACCCAAGAGCCCTCGCCACAGGGCCCCATGCTGCAGGGGCCAGCTGCGTTTCGGCGAACTTCGCCCCGCGGCTCGCCGTTTCCCGCAGGGAGCAGTTCCTCTGGAAATCCTGCAGAGTCTAGATCATCAATCTACGTTACTTATGAATATGGCAAACCCCCAAAAAGATAGAAACTATAGAGACTATACGACTATACGACTATAATTCTATAATATATATATCTATATAATTCTATATGTAAAATTATATAAATATGTATGTATATTGTGTATACTTTTCAGGTAGTAGGAAGATGTTCCTTTTCCATGTTTTGGGGTTGCCATAGCATTTTCCAAAATATGGGCATATGTGTTCCGCAAATATAAATGAGATGATAACATAGACTATTAATCAATTCAATCATATGTATGACATTATTCTTACACATATGCAGTACATAGACATATATAGACACGGCCTACAACCTCCAAGGCAACATGGCAACCCGCCACAGTCATAGCGGGGTTGGAGCTGTTCTTCAGGATTTCCTTTTCGTCTTCGCGGCGTCGACGACACCGCAACGGCACGCCGCTTCGGACAGTCGAGTCGGAGGAATGAAAAATCGGTCAGGGCCGTGAACCTCAATGTTTGTGAGCTTGGGTCCTACGTGTGCAAGGCGAGTGATTTGCAGCCTTCATCTACTAGTAAAAAGCAAATTGCCAACCCAAGGTTCAAGAAATCCATGAACTGTCAGTTGATTGTTTGGTCAATACATCCAAGTGTAAGTGAGAACCAGCATGTCAAAATCCGCAAAAGAAGATTCAGGACTTCAGATGGGAACACTACAATATTCGGAAACTCCTGGTCGAGGACCATATTTTGTGGGTGTCCAGCGATGTTTCAGGGTAGTATCTCCACTTTTGGTTGTCAAATCTCACGTTTGTTCACTCACTTGCATTTAAAAAGCACGTCACTGGATGTCACTGGTTCTTTTTGTTCTTAGGGGGTTGATTATATAATTTTAGTCTACATTTCGGTGGCCGGTTAATGTTATTTTGGCATTTGTTGAAACCATCAACTGTTGGCCAAACCATCTTGAACACTCTCGAACCCATTGTTCTTGGGTTTAAACCATGTAATTTCTTTTTTTGATGCTTAAATCCGTTTTTTTTTGGTGAGTCAACCATGACATACCATGACATACCATGACGTTACCTGGTCAAATCACTATTTTTGCCATGGCTTCAGCCAGCCTAGCGGAGTTCGTGCCCGGAAAGCCGAGCTGTGATGCCGACGCTGCGCGGAAGCGGCTTGCTGGCGGTGCTGCTGGCAGCCCGGGTGCCAGAGATGGGAGGGGAAAGAGAATTGATGAATTCTTTGGATATTTTTAGATTCATAATGATTCATATTTTAGATTATTTGGATTCATCTATTTCATATGTGAATATCTTATATCGAACCTGACATATTTATAATATATATATGTGTGTGTGTGTCTCTCTCTTTCTCTTTCTCTGTGCATATATATATATATACAATGCAGATGTAAACTGCATGCATTTGTGCGCACACACACACAAGCATATGAACATGCATGCGTACGTCAATGAACACACACATATATAAGTGGAATATGCTTATTTTGTATACAGATGTCATGTTCTTTGTGCTTTGCAGTATTATTATTACTATTATTCCAACTATTATTATTACTATAAAAAGAACCTTCATGCCTGGGATGATGATCAGATATCGTTAGATCCTAGGAATGTTAGCTTCGTGCAACGAAACACCAAGGCCCTGTTGGCATGTGTCATGCGTCGTGCTGCACCCTGTGAGGCTGAGATCGGGAGAGATCCAGCTGTGCTACCCAGAGCTGGGTAAATGATCGAAGGAAGTTTAGAAGTGAAACTTCCGACAATGTGGACAGTTGAAAAGCAGAGGTGAGAAGAGTCAGAAGAGACAAGATCAGAAGAAAGAAGATGCAGATGCGCGAAAAGGTAGGAAAGTCGCGAAACACTGTGTTTTTCCAATGATTTGTGGCTCCGGTGGGTCGAAAAGTAGGCTCGCTAAAGCGGCGGGTGCGGAGCCAGCTGGCCAGATGAGAGATGAAAAATTGCACGCCGTTGTGGCACGAAGCACATTTCCAAGTCAAAATGTACAAAACACACCAGGTTCGGTCCACTTTTGGAAGTTGAGATGTTGAAAAAGTGCACGCCGTTGTGGCGCGAAGCACATTTCCAAGTCAAAATGTACAAAACACACCAGGTTCGGACCACTTTTGGAAGTTGAGATGTTGAAAAAGTGCACGCCGTTGTGGCGCGAAGCACATTTCGAAGTCAAAATGTACAAAACACACCAGGTTCGGACCACTTTTGGAAGTTGAGATGTTGAAAAAGTGCACACCGTTGTGGCGCGAAGCACATTTCCAAGTCAAAAGTGTTAAAAACTGACGGTCTCGGACCACTTTTGGAGGTTCAGATGTCGAAAAAGTGTCGAAAAAGTGCACGCCGTTGTGGCGCCAAGCACATTTCGAAGTCACAAGTGTAAAAAACTGAGGGTTTTGAGCCTTTTTTGACGTGAAGATGTCGAAAAAGTAGACACTGATTAACTTAACTAACTTGACTAACTTAACTAACTTCACTAACTTACCTATCCTAACTTCGACGACAACAACAACAACAACACCAACACCAACAACAACACCAACCACAGCAACAACAACAACACCAACCACAACAACTACAACTACAACTACAACAACTACAACTACAACTACAACTACAACAACTACACAACAACTACAACTACAACTACAACTACAACAACAACAACAGCAACAACAACAGCAACAACAACAACAACAACAACAACAACAACTACAACTACAACTACAACTACACAACAACTACAACTAGAACTACAACTACAACAACTACAGCGACAACAACAACAACAACTACTACTACAACAGCAACAACAACAACTACAACAACAACAACAACAACTACTACTACAACTACAACTACAACTACACTAGACAACAACTACAACCACACAACAACTACAGCTACAACTACAACAACAACAACTACAACAACAACAACTACAACAACAACTACAAAACAACTACAGCTACAACTATATGACTGCAACTACACTACACTAATTACATTACACCACAACTACAACTCCACTACGCTACAACTACAACTACAGTTGCAGTACATCACACTACATCCAGCAGTTGTGGGTGAGGTGACCACTGCAACCATTGCAACCATTCCAGCAACACAACTCCAACCACCTTTCGGTCAATCAGTGGATTCGCTCTGCCATCCGTGATTCACAACAATCAATCTCTCCTATAGGTTTCCTATTTTTGAAACTTCCGCCACCGCCTTGTGCGGTACTACTGGTAGTGACCTCAGGTAAAGTGACCTCAGGTAAAGTGACCTCAGGTAAAGTGACCTCAGGTAAAGTGACCTCAGGTAAAGTGACCTCACTGGAATGATGGTTAGTGACGGTGAGTGAATTATTGTGCATTATTTTAAAATTAATTTTACATATCTACTAGCCATCATTGTCTAGGAATATTCTTCTGGAGCGATGCTTTGTGTTTGGATGCAGGCCTTTACTGCACCGGTGCGGCAGTAGGGCGCCCAGATCTGGAACACCCATGGAGAAACCGGAGGTTCAAGTGATTTACTGATGGGTTGTCCACATCGAAATGTTAGTTTACAGGAGGGTAACTGCAACTCGTAACTGAGTTGCAGCCTTTCGTACCCAATTATCATCCATTTGCCAGTTGGATGATTCCGTGGTAGATCTCAGTAGGCTTACATTCTTGGGATGTAGTGGGATATCATGGCTTAACCCCCAAAAAATCTTTTGAAATCGCAATTTACGGTATGGCTTCATGTGCAGGGCTTTTTGAAAGCACCCGCAGGAACTTTTTAAGGCCGCAGCATTTGTGATTGGGTCACCTGTTAGGGGGAAATGTGTGGCGGGAAAGGGGGTCAATTCCCAAAAACGCCATTGGTATCCATTTGTCACGACAACAAGAGTCACTCTCCATCATATCTGCTATGTATATATATATATAATGTATATATATATATACATCGACCTGGCAAGCTAATCTGGCAACGACAAGATCATATTGATTATGAGAGGCTGTACTGCACCTGTTTTTCCCGAGAGCGTCTGAGCGCAGGGTTCTTCCAATAGTGGGGGTCTGTAAAACATCTTCTCATCTTCACATCTGCTCATCTTCACATCCTCTCATCTTCACATCTGCTCATCTTCACACCTTTCCATCTTCACATCTGCTCATCTTCACACCTTCCCATCTTCACATCTTCTCATCTTCACATCTGCTCATCTTCACATCTGCTCATCTTCACACCTTCCCATCTTCACATCCTCTCATCTTCACACCTTCCCATCTTCACATCTTCTCATCTTCACATCTGCTCATCTTCACATCTGCTCATCTTCACATCTGCTCATCTTCACATCTGCTCATCTTCACACCTTCCCATCTTCACATCTTCTCATCTTCACATCTGCTCATCTTCACATCTGCTTATCTTCACATCTGCTCATCTTCACATCTGCTCATCTTCACATCTGCTCATCTTCACATCTGCTCATCTTCACATCTTCTTATCTTCACATCTTCTCATCTTCACATCTGCTCATCTTCACACTGCTCATCTTCACATCTTCTCATCTTCACATCTGCTCATCTTCGCATCTGCTCATCTTCACATCTGCTCATCTTCACATCTGCTCATCTTCACATCTTCTTATCTTCACACCTGCTCACCTTCTCTCTCACGCCTTCTTTTTATCTTTCTCTCTTAAGGCCGAGGGTGGTGCCGGCGGCGAGTCACGAAACGCTAACCCTTTCGCACGAAATGAGGGTCGATCGGCAAAAACTGAGGTAAAATTGCGATTTGACTTGCCCTGGAGCAACCCTTTCGCACGAAATGAGGGTCGATCGGCAAAAACTGAGGTAAAATTGCGATTTGACTTGCCCCGGAGCAACCCTTTCGCACGAAATGATGGTCGATCGGCAAAAACTGAGGTAAAATTGCGATTTGACTTGCCCCGGAGCAACCCTTTCGCACGAAATGAGGATCGATCGGCAAAAACTGAGGTAAAATTACGATTTTACCTGTGCCGGAGCAACCTTTTCGCACGACCAGAAATGAGGGAGATCGGCAAAACTGCGGTTAAAACCTGCCCGATTTGACTTTGTACTGGGCAAACCCTTTCGCACGAAATGATGGTCGATCGGCAAAACCTGAGGTAAAATTGCGATTTTTCGTGTGCCGGAGCAACCCTTTCGCACGAAATGAGGGTCGATCGGCAAAAACTGAGGTAAAACTGCGATTTTACTTGTGCCGGAGCAACCCTTTCGCACGAAATGAGGGTCGATCGGCAAAAACTGAGGTAAAAGTGCAATTTTACTTGTGCCGTTCTTGTCTGTGTGTAAAAGCGCCTGTGTGTAAAAAGCGTCTGTGTGTAAAAGTCTCTGTGTGTAAAAGCGTCTGTGTGTAAAAGCGTCTGTGTGTCAAAGTGTCTGTGTGTAAAAGCGTCTGTGTGTAAAAGTGTTTGTGTTCAAGTGTTTCTGTGTAAAAGCCTCTGTGTGTAAATGTGTTTGTGTGTGAAAGCGTTTATGTGTAAAAAGCGTCTGTGTGTAGAGGTTGTCTGTGTGTAAAAGCGTCTGTGTGTCAAAGCGTTTGTGTGTAAAAGCGTCTGTGTGTAAAAGTGTTTGTATGTAAAAGCTTCTGTGTGTAAAAGTGTTTGTGTCAAAGTGTTTGTGTAAAAGTGTTTGTGTGTAAAAGTGTTTGTGTGTAAAAGTGCCTGTGTGTAAAAGCGTCTATGTGTAAAAGCTTCTGTGTGTCAAAGCGTTTGTGTGTAAAAGCAGCTCCTGTCTGTAAAAAGGTCTGTGTGTAAAACTGTCTGTGTGTAAACATGTCTGTGTGTAAAAGTGTCCGTGTAAAAGCGTCTGTGTGTCAAAGCGTCTGTGTGTAAAAGCGTCTGTGTGTAAAAGTGTTTGTGTGTAAAAGTGTTTGTGTGTAAAAGCCTCTGTGTGTAAAAGCGTCTGTGTGTAAAAGCGTCTGCGTGTAAAAGCGTCTGTGTGTAAAAGTGTTTCTGTGTAAAAGTGTTTGTGTGTAAAAGTGCCTGTGTGTAAAAGCGTCTATGTGTAAAAGCTTCTGTGTGTACAAGCATTTGTGTGTAAAAGCAACTCCTGTGTGTAAAAGGGTCTGTGTGTAAAAGTGTCTGTGTGTAAACGTATCTGTGTGTAAACGTGTCTGTGTAAAAGCTTCTGTATGTAAAAGCTTCTGCGGGTAAAAGCTTTCTGTGTAAAAGTGTCTGTGTAAAAGCTACTGTGTGTAAAAGCTTCTCACTATTTGGTCTTGATACTCCTCTTCTCGACTGCCTATAACACATCTTTCATACATCGTTTCTAAAATTGCGTCTCCATACTAACAAGAGAAGACCCTGCTCCTCTACGCTCTCGGGCCATCCGTCGTCTAGTTTCTTTCCACTTAGACTCAACATAAGTCATGGATAATCCATCATTCATAGATCATTTCCTGTGAAAATCATTGGCTTTCCATATCTCTGTCGTTTACCCCGCATCATATTGTATCATATCCAAAACAGACCTCCAAGATCTGGAAAGGACTTCAGATTGAAAGATCGTCGGCATCTGGATTCAGAAACATGCCCGTAACATCCCGTAACACTTGAGGTGAGAACAGTTATCCACTTAACAGAGAATGTATCCTGCACAGTCAATTTATGTATCTATGCGTATTTGTGTCCAGGTCTTGAAAAGGATCGATGCTCATCAGAAATTATTTTAGAATAGTTTGGAATAGACCAGTTGTGTATATGTACACAGATGCGTGTATACACTAGATATTCACAGTTACATGCAACCAGACATGCATAAACACTATGTAGCATATATGGATGATTAGGTATATATATATATATACCTATTATCTGGATTATTAGCATATATGTACACATATTTATATATATAGACGATATATATTTATATATATAGACGATATATACACTAATTAATACTAATTAGATATATGGATATTTTTTCCGTACAGTACAGAAAGGTATATGAATCTCCCTGGTGGGGTCCCAGGTTGTCTATGCCTGCAGACCATTCGGCCGAGTACGTCTGAGCCTAAGCGGAGAGGTGGGATGTAGCTGGAGCTGAAGAAAATGGCGGGTTTGACCAACAACACGAGGGATACATACATATACTGGAAAATTAAAGGACCGGATAACCCCACAAGTCAACTTCTTCCAATAATGAGCTTCAAAGGTTGTAGCGGGGTCGGAGAAAGATCGAGAAGGTAGGTAGGTATGAATGTATGTATGTATGTATGTAGGTAGGTATGCATGTATGTCATGTATGTAGGTATGTAGGGTAAGTTGTTTGTGAGTAAGTTGTTTGTGAGTAAGTTGCTCCGCTTTCTTCGAGTTCCACCAGGCTCTGCTATCAAAGCGATGGTGTGCTCACCATACCCAGTGCCATGAGTGCCACGCCTGCCACGCAAAACGACGGTGGATGTGAGTTTGTGCCACGCCTGCCACGTGAAACGAAGGTGGACTTGTGGACATTGGGGTTGTGAGTCAACCCCGCACTGACACATTACCCTCACGCATCAACTCTCAGACACCCTCTCCCCCCCAGTGCCGCGCGGCGTCACGGGACGCCTGGAGTATCGAGAGACATCCCCCCTGGTTCCCTGTACATCTTTCTCCCTTTCCTATCCCACTTCGACTTTTTTAGTTCCAAGCGCGCCACCCAGTGCCATGAGTGCCACGCCTGCCACGCAAAACGACGGTGGATGTGAGTTTGTGCCACGCCTGCCACGCAAAACGACAGTAGATGTGAGTTTGTGCCACGCCTGCCACGTGAAACGACAGTAGGTGTGAGTTTGTGCCACGCCTGCCACTGAAACGACAGTAAACAAGGGGGGGGTCTCGTGAGTTTGTGCCACACCTGCCACGCAAAGTGCCGCGGCGTCACAGGCGCCCAAGCCAGTCCAAGCACGCCACCCAGTGCCATGAGTGCCACGTCTGCCACGTGAAACGAAGGTGGATGTGAGGTGGTGCCACGCCTGCCACGTGAAACGAAGGTGGATGTCAGGTTGTGGCACGCCTGCCACGCAAAGTGCCGCGGCGTCACGGGCGCCCAAGCCAGTCCAAGCGCGCCACCCAGTGCCATGAGTGCCACGCCTGCCACGCAAAACGACGGTGGATGTGAGTTTGTGCCACGCCTGCCACGCAAAACGACAGTAGATGTGAGTTTGTGCCACGCCTGCCACGTGAAACGACAGTAGGTGTGAGTTTGTGCCACGCCTGCCACTGAAACGACAGTAGGTGTGAGTTTGTGCCACGCCTGCCACGCAAAGTGCCGCGGCGTCACAGGCGCCCAAGCCAGTCCAAGCACGCCACCCAGTGCCATGAGTGCCACGCCTGCCACGCAAAACGACGGTAGATGTGAGTTTGTGCCACGCCTGCCACGCAAACCGACAGTAGATGTGAGTTTGTGCCACGCCTGCCACGCAAAGTGCCGCGGCGTCACAGGCGCCCAAGCCAGTCCAAGCGCGCCACCCAGTGCCATGAGTGCCACGCCTGCCACGCAAAACGACGGTGGATGTGAGTTTGTGCCACGCCTGCCACGCAAAACGACAGTAGGTGTGAGTTTGTGCCACGCCTGCCACGCAAAGCGCCACGGCGTCACAGGCGCCCAAGCCAGTCCAAGCGCGCCACCCAGTGCCATGAGTGCCACGCCTGCCACGCAAAACGACGGTGGATGTGAGTTTGTGCCACGCCTGCCACGTGAAACGAAGGTGGATGTCAGGTTGTGGCACGCCTGCCACGCAAAGTGCCGCGGCGTCACGGGCGCCCAAGCCAGTCCAAGCGCGCCACCCAGTGCCATGAGTGCCACGCCTGCCACGCAAAACGACGGTGGATGTGAGTTTGTGCCACGCCTGCCACGTGAAACGAAGGTGGATGTGAGGTTGTGCCACGCCTGGCACGCAAAATGTGTGTTTGTGCGCCCAAGCCAGTCCAACGTTTGTGTATGTGGTGTACGTTAAGTTTGTGTGTGTCAAGTTTGTGTGTGTGTGTGAAGTTATTGTATGTTACGTTTGTGTATGTGGGAAAGTATTGTATGTTAAGTTTGTGTGTGTGAAGTTATTGTATGTTAAGTGTGCGTGTGTGAGGGAGGCGGCGGGAGGAGGAGGCGGCACCCGGGATACAGAATCAAAAACAAGAACCCCACACAAAGTTGTGGGGAAAAATATATTTACAGATTATATATATATATATATATATACATATTTATGTATGAACGGGATTTATCCAACGTACTGTAATATGATTTAACATAGCGAAGATTACCCATTTGTAGATGAGTTACTATTTTCAGGTGATTTTAATGGGGATTGACCAGCCACAATGGGAATCATGGTGATCCAATTGGGTCATCAAAGATGGCTGGGACATCCCCGAAAATCATCGAAAGAAATGGAGGACTATCCAGCCATGTTTGAGTACCGGACGGTAATATCAACCACATTCTTTTCAGATTATTTGAGCAGATAGATATACACATAGAAATATAGAAGGCTAGATGAGCAGAGACATACGCTTATCAAATCACATGAGCACATGTGTAGATATTGCATGAATGTTTTCTCCAGGCAAGTGTCCCTGTGGGGCGGCTGATTGACAGACTCAAGAGAGAGAGATATTGCATGTATCTATACAATTCTATATGTCTATGTGCACATCTTGACATGTATCCCCATACTGGCCCATACTCATTACTTTATATCCTCTGGTAAATTAAGATATATAGACCCTGAAAATAACATTTTGTTCTTTAGAAACAAATCTTCCAACCCCTATCTGGCAGGGTCTATGTTAATTTACTGACGGGTGTATGTACACACACACATATATATATATAAGTACATATATACATATTTATATACATAATTATGTATGATTATATCGATATAATTATATATATATACCATGCAGAAATTAAACATGGCAATGGACATGTCTACATTTCTGGATGATCTTCCCATTGAAACCCCCATTGAAAAAGGTCGGTTGACCTGGGATATCGCCGAGGATCCGGCCCTGGACAACTTGCAGGTGGAGTTGATGGATGCTCAACGCGCGGAGAGCAATCGTGGCTGTGACTTGGAGCGCGGCCGTCATTGGGTATATAAATGTGAATGTGTTTGCAGTGTATATAATATTTATGTATATATATATGATTATGCGTGTATATGGTATAAGAATGATAACAGTAAGATAGTAATAACATGCATTTGTACTTAGATATTTTTTTTGATGCATATAGGCATCTGGATATGTACATAGTATTTAATAGTATGTTGTGTTCAGCATATGATGTAATATGTAACATTCTAGAGCTGTATGGATAGGTGCATCTATTAAAACAACAATAAACCATCCCAATTTGTGGTTTGTTACTGGGCAAGGACCACATATCTCTTCTTGGAATGATTTAGACAGTCTCCAAATGGTTGTTGACTGAGGGATGCCTTACCACTAGTGGATCCCACATGATTTTTTCCTTGATTCATTTGTTCCAAAAATGGCCTGAACAGATCTAGAGCCCAAGCCGAGGTGGCTTCTGCCTTGGCTGAGCCGGGGGAACCAAGTGCCCCGTGAAAGTAAAGCTGGCTTAAGCTGATGCTGAGCGTCTCTGCAGGTTTTTGTGCTCCTCATCGGCCGTTTTGCAAAATGCTCCGTTGATGACTTTGCCAACTTCTTATGTGGAAGATTGTGGAAGATTTTCTGCTCGAAAACCTGCAGCCCAAGCTGCGTGACTGGGCCCTCGAAGAAGCTGATAGGGTGCAACATATATTCCCCCGTCAGATAAGTAGGCTTAAAAACATGCTGCACAAACCAAGCATTCACCAAGCGCGGTTTGCGCTGGTGGCAGTTGAAAGCCAGGCCTTTGATGATTCTTGTGGATGGGTCAAACTATTCGGCCAGTGATGGCCACTGGGTTGCATCCCTAGGTTCCAGTCACAAGCTGTGGCCCTTCTGCCTCCTGAAGGGATCTGAAGGCTGCACTCAGGGGGCCACAGATGGTGCAGTGCTGTGCCAGGCGTTGTCTTCCAATGCCGGGAGCCTTTGGAGCTGCCGATGCGTGACGCAGGGGGCAAGGCTGAGCAGAGCTCAGCGCTTCTGGCTGAGAGGTCAGGCAGCCGAAACAGGCCGAAGCTGCGCAAGTTGCAAGGACAAGATCAAAACATATCAAAACCAAAATCACACCAGTTTGTCATGCACTAAGTGCACCCCGTAGGCAATCGTAGGCATAAATGTTTTGAACTCGGCCTATGCACCTATGCCCACCAAACTTGCAAGTAGTTACCATTTTGAAACCCTGCTCAGCTACAGAAACGCTCATTCAGCTTGGTAATGATGAGAGTCTAGGGTCCACCCCAGAGGTAGTTACAGTAGGTAAAAGAAAAGGATAAAGCGGGTCCAACTCATGTCAAATGCCCTTACCTTCCTGGGCCACACTTGGTTCAAACTGCTCTCGCTTCCCGTAGCGTTTGCTTTTTCATGATTTTTCCCTTGCGGGCACCCAGAGAGATTTGCGCAGACTGGACCCGACATCCGGTCGACAATGGCCGCGGTACCACCAGTGTCAATTTTCGAGCGTCCACATCCACGCTCAACTGCTGAAGGCTGCAAGGCTTGAACTCTTAAAACAAGCATAAACAACCTAGCAGATGCCCAAATCCACGGATTCTGCCTTCGAAGGGTGAAGATATGGACCAGCGCCTACTGGGCCCTAATGTTCCAGAAAACTCGACTTCATCATCTTCATCCAGGAAACATCATGGGGATCTTCGAGATCCCTCTATGCTTTCAGATCTTTCAGCCTTTGGCAGATTTATCCGGAGCCGATTTTTGCCCACAAAAGTGAGTTCCGTCAGCTGTGTTTTTGAGAGGATCTAGGCGCACGAGGTGCTCCCATCATCTCCCGGCATTGACCCATGCCATCCCAACGAATGAAGCTCCTGCCCCTCAATTCCCAGCCATGATAGCCATGCTATTTGCATAGGTTCGCTGGCATTTCCCACATTCTGCAGCTGTATGTGCCTTGAAAATCCTTGAAAACTGGCGCTGCAATGTGTAGTTTCCTGCCAATGCCAAGAACAATATGCCATTTTTGTTTTTGTCTTTTCAACCGGAACATGTAGAAACAAGTATTACTGTAGTGGGTGACTGTAACAGCATTGACCTATGATTTAAGGATCATGTAATAATGTAGGACATGATCTTTTGTCTTGATAACCCTTGATTTTGTGGGTCTCAACTTGCCAGCAAACTATTAGAAGCAAGCATTTCATTTGGCATTTCCAGAATTCAAATTTGGACATCCAGTAGGTACCACTATATAGATAATTCACGTTCTGGGTTTTGATGGAGCCTCAAGATTGCGGTTGAATTTAATCAATTCTTAGTAACGTCTTGCAGGGCGTTCTTGTGGAGACCAATTGTTCGCACAGCCGCCCCATTTTTCACAAACGTTCTTAGGAAATGATGGTTAGCATATGTTAGCATGGTATGCCAAACCGGCCTAAACTTCACTTACAGCATCTTTAGCGCCATTTTAGCACAAAAAGACAGCCAACGACAGTCATCAAGTTGAAACCAATGGTTCTCATCCCTGCGGTGTCGAAAAACTCCGAGGCAGGGGGGGCAGGCAACATGGCCAGTGAAGGGAAACCATCCCGAAGTGGCTTGAAATCTGCAAATTATGGATACAAATTTCCCATATTTTCCCATGAAACATGGGCCCGAAATAGACGACAGGTAAAAGATGGCAAAAGTTATAAGTAAATGGGGGCCGTCATGCAATTAGGATCAAGTATAGAGTGAACAGGATTTGGCTTGCGCATCATCATTATCATCGCATCTATGCCAAGTTCCTAACATGAATATGCATTTTACATCATTTAACTTCCATATACTATAATCTACTAATAATATACTATAATATACTATAATGTACTATAATATACTATAATATACTATAATATACTATACTATACTATTATATTATATACTATAATATACTATAATATACTATAATATACTATAATAATAATAATCCTTAATAATCTATAATATGTACTTATGGATCTTCCATGGATCATGTTCCCGCGCAAGCCATAGTTTTTTTCATGAGTAACATCTCTATCTGACGGCAACGGTGACGCAGGAGGCTGCGGAGGTGAAAGCTGCAGGCGGGCGAAAGACGGTGGGGGACCGGGGGATTGGAATGTTGTTGAAACATGTTGAAACATACTGTGGATGGAAGTGCTTTATCCCATTCTTAATATTTCTTAATAGGATTTCAACCATCCAAGGTGGTGCAGGATTTATTCCACAGTAGGTTGAACCATCCTTAGTAAACTCCAGCTAAACATTCAAATTGGGGAAGGAATTCGAATGTCTGCCTTCAAATTGATCGAACGTGTTCGCGGCAACCCTGTCGTTTGCCCGTGCTGATCCCGCATATATATCCTTTGACATAGGGCCAACGTCTTTTCCGCTAGCTGTTTCAACCCTGAGGCTGGATGGTAAAGGCTGGGCTTAAACTGCACTGTTTGGGGCATATTCCTGCCCAGTATCAGAATCAGCCAGCCAAGGAAGCCAGTCTGCGATAGATCATTTTTTGGTAGTCATCCCCATTCTTGCAGGTGAAATTGGATGACTTACCATGACTTACCTTGGGATTTTCCATTGCCATCTGACATGTCCTGGATCCAGCAGGAGCAACCCATGGGTTTGGCACTCCAACCCCCTGGCATGTGATGTTGCTGCTCGGGTTTCCTTGACGCAGTTTGGCTGAAGGAGGGGCGGGCTGGGCCCGCTCCAGGGACGGATGAAGCCAAGGGTTTCATGGAAGGCGTGCGCACTGCAGTATGATCCGGTGGGTTGCAGTAGGTATAAGGAGTTGCGTGAGGCTGGTTTCTAGAACGGCTTTATAGGCATCTTTGGGTTTTAAGTCGTAGGAAATTGCAGAGGCAATCTGGAAATTCCAGCTTGTGTGGCTTTAAGATAGTTTAGGATGGAATGCACATCACAAAATTCGCCATTTTGCATCACTACTTTCGGCAGTGGGTTCGTGCCCGGTGCAGGTGGTTTGCCTGTTCTTGATCAGCTCTTCTCTCGAAATAGTGGAGGGTACAAGATTGAGCGGGTCCCCTGCCATCGGCCGCAACCGATCAGCCACGGAATGCGAAGGATTCGGTTCTTGGGGTTGTACGGTCCAGTGACTTGAAGAAATATCTTCATTTTTAGTGGTGTCTTAAACATTTTAGAAGATTCAAACTTGTGGTCCCTTCGGTTTATAAACATGATTATACTATACCCACATCATGGCACATCCTTCTTCAGGCTTCTAGCTTGAATCTATGGGATTTTTGTAGGAGAAAAACATGTTTCCTCCCCAAATGCCGACCTTTCCAATGGGCAGTTCCCAGCTGTTTAGGAGATTCGCAAGATTTGCTGCAGCATCAAACGCTGCAGGTGGATATGGATGGGCCATGCTTTGAGGGGCGGGCCTTCAAGGAAGATGCTTGAAAAGTTCGCGCATATATACGTATATATATATAAATATTATATATATATAATATAATATTATATTATATTATATATATATATATTATTTTTATTTATTTATTTTTTAATATATATGTGTGTATGTATATATATATAAGACAATACGCTACAATAACATGTGGTGGCAACTGAAACTATATACATGCAGCGGAGAAAATGAAAGACAGGAACAGCTCAAAGACTCAAAGATCTTAAAGTTTTGGAGGTTCGTCATGCAGGGCTCATGGCCAGTGAGGATTGCAGGGTGATGCTTCATTTCACGCGTTTTGCATGAGCATCTGTATATAATACTAATATTCTACAATTCTGCAATCATTATTTTTTTTTGCTGATGGGTTGTGCATCATTAAAATTACTCTTCTCCTATGAAAAAAACTGGGGGTTGGTAAACTAGGGTTAACATTTATCATCAAAGAGCATATGCTTCATGCATCTTTATACCTATTACATCCCATTCCATTATCATTATTCACAGAATTGGATGATGGGAACATAGGGGAACACTTACTGGACGCCCCTTCTTTTTGATGGTAGAAACCATGTTTTCCTGTAGGTTTCCCCTTAAAACCAATTCATTGAGTTCTAACCAGCGTGTCAGGCACCTGACTCGGACCTCATAGTGGACGTCATTGGAAGGGGTCCAGCTGCTCGAGCCAAGTGCTGGGGATTTTCTCCATCCGAATATATAGATGATTTTGGGGTAGCCCTATTTTAGGAAACTAGTATCTAGGTATATTAGGTACTAGAGGCTTAGTATCTCAAATATACCTAGTTGTGTTGATATTATGTATATATATATAATATATATATATATAATTTTATATAATATACAATTATATATATATAGAGATTATAGGTATAATTTATAATTAATTGTTTAGTATAGTTCATGGGTTTTATTTTCAAACACATTATTTGATGTCATAATGTCACTTGCCGATGTCATCACCGACACAGCTTCTTACAGACATTGATACCATGTGATTGTACTGGTTTTGGTTTTTCACATCCTCACACTGGCTTGATACTTATCAAGTTTATAAGGTATGATCTTGATAAGTAACTTTATATTGATATATATATATTGGATATACTTATAACTTATCATAACTTGATATATTGGAAGTTGCGGTAGCCACGTGTGATCAGCAGTGAATTCGACGGCCCATCCAAGTCATGGACAATGTACACACACTCGCTATGACATGCTATGACCAATTTTTAATCACTTTCATTTGTTTGTTTATATGAGATATATGTCAATATACGAATGTGAATTATATGTACTGTATACTACATACATATATTTATATATACATGTATGTATGCATACCTTTATTTAGATACCTATATTTATATATATATAACTATATATATATACATAACTATATATATATAACTATATATATATAACTATATATATATATTTAAAACTATATATATATATTATATCTATGCATATACATAGATCCGTTTGTCCAAACATGAAGGCCGTCCACCAAAACAACCATTTCACTTGAACAAGCATGATGAACCATGAAATTGTTTGGTATTCTTAGGAGCCCCATTTCCAGACCACTACGTGCACATGCGCCACTGTTTTCCAAGTACAACTGCATCCCCACTTTGCTGGATCCTGCCAAACATCTTGTGTGCTGTAAACCCAGCCGGGCTTTCATTGTCACTTGCACACCTTCAGTAAACAAACCGGAAAATGGCAACATTTTCGACACGAGCATATTCCATAAAATTATCATAAAATCCAGAGATGAGCATTGTGATTCTGGATGGTTACTAATCATCATCATCATCATCATCATCATGACCCATAAAAGACCACAGAAGTTCATCGCCACAAAAAATCAGAATCACCATTGGATGAACGCAGTGATTTGGCGCATGCGCGAAGCTTAGGAAAGGTGGCCTCAAGAAGAGGCCCCCGGTGATGGGCACCCGTCCCTGGTGTAACAACGCCGAGAATGTGTGTATAATTATAGACTAGCCAATCCCTCTCTCTATATATTATAGATGTATAGATATAGATGATATTTAGATATTATTACAAGTAAAGATGTTAACCGATGTTATGTTGTTTGTATGCCTTGAACATGTTTGGAATTTTACATCTGTGTTTCTCTTACCCAGCTTCAGGATGACTTGAACCGCATGAGTGGGTCCCGTTCCACCGATGCATCACATACCCTCGGGAAAATGAACATAGTTTCATAGCTATGAACAACGCAATGTATAGATGATTCATCTGAACTTGCCAAAGGGATCCAAAGGGTATGTTTCCACTTTTAGCGGTTGTTGAGTTTTCTTCACTATCAGACCCATACAATCAAATCCAGTACGGCAGCCACGTCCGGCCACATCCTCCAAGTTCAGTGATGCTCTTCCTTTGATTTCATGGGTCGTAGAAAAGCGCAGCACCTGCTGAAAGCAAATCAATGCAAATCAGCAATGCATGTGAAGTGCAAATACTTCTTGATCGTTTCATGAGTCTTAAGGCTGGTCGTCACATAGGGCCATAGACTGGAGGAAAACCAGTACTCATAGACTTCACAGGAATTCTCGGTGATTCTGGGGGAAGAATTCTCTTGGGTATCGTCGGGTACTTTTGATTCTGCCATTTGGATCTGGCCCAGCACAGGAGGAAGATCCCGATTCTGAAAGCGTTGCTGACGATGCCATGCAGGCTTGCTATGATCCCTTGCCATGGGACAAGTGGGTGGGCAGTCTGTGAGAACCCTGGCAAGGAGATCGTGGCCTGCCCAAAGGTTGACGTTGAAAATACACATTGTTTTGACAGTTCATGAGCTGAAGTAGGGCAAAAGAAGCAGCTGATTTAGACTTTTTTGGGGGGGTCTAACGATACCAAAATGTTTTTCCCCAAAGGCTATTCCAAGAATTGTCTTTGGATCCCTGTGACAGTCAGAGATTGAACAAATCGGTGATCAAGTGTTGCGGATCAATGGGATAACTGAGGTCAGCAGGCCGAAGATTTATTTCAGGGATTCGGTTTGATTCCAAGATGGTTGCAATCGCTTGCAAATTGTTAACTTCAGGTTGTCAGATGGAATACAGATAGACCAGATAACTCCCCAAATCCCTCGCATATCAGAAGGTGATATTGGGATACAACATCTGTCAGCAACTGCCTTTTCATCACTTCAGTTCGGGCAGTTCGGGTTCTCTCAACATTTGGAAGCCCAAATGGTGTTTAACATTTCGAATATTCATTTTCCGTGCTATTTCAATATATTTCAATGCCGAAGTGGAGGCTCATCATCCCCATGCTGAGGCCACCCATGCTTAGGATTGACCTCCCATAAGGAGGGCCATTTATTCAGGGCCTTTTTTTTTGCTCCCAAAATCGAAGGTTCCAGCTCCCAAATGTTGCAACTGGCAAGCAAAATGGACGGTTCTGGCAAGCAAAATGGAAGGTTCGGTGGAACGTGCTGCAAATAGCATGCGAAAAGGAAGTTCCAACTATAACATGCTGCAAATAGTATGCAAAGCGGAAGGTTCTAGATTAAAAAAACTGTGCGTAGCATGCAAAATGAAAGGTTTCCAGCTCCAAAACGTTGCAAATGGCAAATGCTGCAAATAGGCGCGGCCAGGAATCCAAAAAACAACAAAAATAAACTAAAAAAGTATATTCCCTAAACAGTTTCCTACCCAGAAGATATCCTAGACGCCATAAAATGAATGAAATGGTGGACTTGAATCCTCCATTGCATTCCAATCACATCTACGACGATGATCCCGAAAGTCAAACGATTTTTCGGTGAAGCCGCCAAGCAGTATGTAGCAGCCAACAAAAAGAATTGAAAGTACGTCAATGAACAGATCTACTAGCATTTTCCGCAATTCTTGAACATAATCATACAGATTCCCATCGGATGAATGATCAATTATAATGACCTCACTTCGTGACGTCGCTGGAATGATGGGAATTGTAAGGGGCATTATCCCCAAATGACCGCAAATTTCAGCTGATATTTTCAGCTTAGTGAATTCAGACAGATTCCACCTTACAACTAATTAGCTAGTGAATTCCAGTTTTCCAATCTATTCTTGCTGTACTTCTGTTAGGTAAACCACTTGGATCCCCCAAAATTCGCCAAGACCAGGCCTTCGGGAAGGACAGCTGCCAAGCTGACAGTTGGCCCTGCTATGATAATGTGGTGCCGCGGTGAGGAAAAGGAACGGCGGCGACGATCATCGTGGATCTGCTGAAGATTTTTATTTTCCCATTTTTGGACATCCACTAGATTCACTAGATATCACTAGACTCTGGGGAAGCTACTAAGCACTTATTGTTTTGGTGGAAGCGTTCCTTAAGCAAAGTCATAGTATGATGAAACCTATTAGGATTATATAATTAGTGAAGTGTTTGATGAACATATATTTGGGAATAATATGATGATCATCATAGCAACATATATAGATGTATAATATATAGTGAAATCCCCGTGAAAAAGGATAACTCTAGCCAAAGACAGCAATTTTCTGTTCTGTCGCTCGCTCATATGTCAATATATTTCAATACACACACACACATATATATATATAGAGTGGTTAGTGGTTGTAGTCGTAGTACATGGTTGGTGCTCAGTTAATATCAATTAAGTAGCCTTATAGTTGGCAAAGCAAAGACTTATAACTGTAATTTACCAGTAGTACCGCACAAGGCGGTGGCGGAAGTTTCAAAAATAGGAAACCTATAGGAGAGGTTGGTTGTTGTGAATCACGGATGGCAGAGCGAAGCCACTGACTCCATCTATTTCTCTAGCTGTCTGTCTGTCTGTCTGTCTATGTATCTATCTATCTATCTATCTAGCTAGCTAGCTAGCTATCTATCTATCTATCTATCTGATAGATCTATCTATCTGATAGATCTATCTATCTGATAGATCTATCTATCTGATAGATCTATCTATCTGATAGATCTATCTATCTATCTATCTATCTATCTGATCTATCTATCTATCTATCTATCTATCTATCTATCTATCTATCTATCTATTTCTCTATGTATCGATCTATGTATCGATCTATGTATCTATCTATCTCTCTATGTATTGATCTATGTATCTATCTATCGATCTATCTATCTATCGATCTATCGATCTATCTATCCATCTATCTATCTATCTCTCCCTTTCATCTGTCTATCTGTCTAGCTGTCTACCTGTCTATCTGTCTGTCTATCTATCTATCTATCTATCTGTCTACCTGTCTATGTGTGTTGCAGTGTCATTCAGTGTAATGTAGTGTAGTGTAGTGTAATGTAGTGTAGTGGAGTGTGGCGGCATGTAGTGTAGTGTAGTGTAATGTAGTGTAGTGTAGTGTAATTTAGTGTAGTGGGTGTAGTGGAGCGTAGTGGAGTCTAGTTGTGTAGTTGTAGTTGTAGTTGTAGTGTAATGGAATGTAGTGTAGTGTAAGGTAGTGAAGTGTAGTGGAAGATAGTGTAGTATAGTGTAATGTAGTGTAGTGGAGTGTAGTGTAGTGTAGTGTAATGTGATGTAGTGTAGTGTAGTGTAATGGAGCGTAGTGTAGTGTAATGTAGTGTGGTGTAGTGTAATTTAGTGTAGTGGAGTGTATTGGAGTGTAGTGTAGTGTAATGTAGTGTGATGGAGTGTAGTGTAGTGTAATGTCCCGTAGTGTAGTGTAGTGGATTGTAGTGTAGTGTAATGTAGTGTAGTGTAGTGAAGCGAAGCGACATATGAACCTCCAAAAGTGGTCCGAACCGCTAGTGTTTTGAACATTTTGACTTCGAAATATGCTTCGCGCCACAACGGCATGCACTTTTTCGACATCTGAACCTCCAAAAGTGGTCCGAACCCCTGGTGTTTTGAACATTTTGACTTCGAAATGTGCTTCGCGCCACAACGGCGGGCACTTTTTCGACATCTGAACCTCCAAAAGTGGTCCGAACCCCTGGTGTTTTGAACATTTTGACTTCGAAATGTGCTTCGCGCCACAACGGCATCCACTTTTTCGACATCTGAACCTCCAAAAGTGGTCCGAAACCCCTAGTGTTTTGAACATTTTGACTTCGAAATGTGCTTCGCGCCACAACGGCGTGCACTTTTTCGACATCTCAACTTCCAAAAGTGGTCCGAACAGGGTGTGTTTTGTACATTTTGACTTGGAAATGTGCTTCGCGCCACAACGGCGTGCACTTTTTCGACATCTCAACTTCCAAAAGTGGTCCGAACGTGTTGTGTTTTATACATTTTGACTTGGGAATGTGCTTCGCGCCACAACGGCGTGCAATTTTTCATCTCTCATCTGGCCAGCTGGCTCCGCACCCGCCGCTTTAGCGAGCCTACTTTTCGACCCTCCGGAGCGAGCCTATTTTTTGCAGAGACCTCTTTCTAGACTTGCTGGCTTTTCCCAGCGGCCCGCCATCATCTTTGATTCCCAAATTGGATATTGTTCATGATATCCCCATTCTATCACCCTTCATAGATGATTTCCAATTCTTAATATTCATTTATAGATATTTATATAGGTTTGGGATTTCCCTGCTAGCCATGTTAGCTAAGGCCTGCCATTGGCCCCTGCAGCAAATCAATGTTGCCGACAGGGATGCTTGTTCCTCAGGCTGCCTGGCGCACAGGCTGAGCTTCTCGATGTCTATCCTCTGGTAATTCAAAATTACTCAAACATGGGGTGAATCACCATATGATCACGCGAAAACATACGTGAAAACTAGGGGGAGAATCATGAATGAAGATGGCTTGTGGATTTTGTTAATGTTTATTCATGTTTAGTAGGTTTTGTTCGTCGCCATGTTGGACTAGCAATGTTTCACTGGGGGTTTGCCTCAGACTTGCGAGGCGTTCTGGGCCATATGGAGCACCAGTTGCACAACTAGAGACCAATCATGACATGTCATGACCGATCACAAATCACAACCAATGCGAAATGGCGAGTATGTCTAGCTGCCAAGATATTGCGTGGCATGCGCTGAGGAAGCGGGTACGCCAACATTTCGTCACTGAATTTGGACGACGGGACCTACACAACTCTTTGTCGTATTGAAGGCCGGGCCCATGGACCCAAGATCTATGTGAGATCATGTAAAGGAAGACTTGCAAGGAACAAGATGAACAGGAGGATTTGCCTTTTCCCAAAACCCCTCAAAAAGTGCAAAAAATTCGGGAACCAGGAGGAGCTTCCGAGAGTTTGTCCGCCATTTGCAGCGCATACCTTCAAGCGCCGAGGCGTTTGCTTGAACGCTTGCAGCGTGAGTCCCATCCACAGCGTGCTCTGGATGCGGAATAGATTATCAATAATGTTGGTTCCTGATTAGTGTGTGGCCCCCCCCTCCCCTAAACTATATCTGGACTCTCTTTAAAGTAGAAAAGCAAAAAAATTCTTCCCAAAAGAAAAACATATCCTCGATTAAGTAAGGATTTCAATTGGCTACAATCGAAATCTAATTAAGATTGTTTTTTTTGCCGATGAAGTTGTGGTATTTGTAGTACTTGTAGTACTTGTAGTACTTGTAGTACATGTAGTACTTGTAGTACTTGTAGTACTTGTAGTACTTGTAGTACCTGTAGTACTTGTAGTACTTGTAGTACTTGTAGTACATGTAGTACTTGTAGTACTTGTAGTACATGTAGTACTTGTAGTACATGTAGTACTTGTAGTACTTGTAGTACATGTAGTACTTGTAGTACTTGTAGTACTTGTAGTACTTGTAGTACTTGTAGTACTTGTAGTACTTGTAGTACTTGTAGTACATGTAGTACTTGTAGTACTTGTAGTACATGTAGTACTTGTAGTACATGTAGTACTTGTAGTACATGTAGTACTTGTAGTACTTGTAGTACTTGTAGTACTTGTAGTACTTGTAGTACTTGTAGTACTTGTAGTACTGTAGTACTTGTAGTACTTGTAGTACTTGTAGTACTTGTAGTAATTGTTAGTACTTGTAGTACTTGTAGTACTTGTAGTACTTGTAGTACTTGTAGTACTTGTAGTACTTGTAGTACTTGTAGTACTTGTGGAAGTAAGCTGTTCTTTAATAAGGGTTTAATATCCTTTGGGAAAGGCTTGGAGTTTGAATTTGGCAATTTTGGCAAAGGCTTGCTTCCCTTCTGGGCTTCCAGGGGCTGCTCTGGCACAGCTTGCTGCAATAGTGAACCCAGCAAACAAACCTACTAAAGTGAAATGGAGCCTCTCCTGGTCCAGGGCCTTGGAAAATTGTGGAAAAGCTGTTCTTTAATAAGGGTTTAATAAGGGATTGGTTCTTTGGGAAAGGCTTGGAGTTTGAATTTGGCAATTTTGGAACAGGCTTGCTTCCCTTCTGGGCTTCCAGGGGCTGCTCTGGCACAGCTTGCTGCAATAGTGAACCCAGCAAACAAACCTACTAAAGTGAAATGGAGCCTCTCCTGGTCCATGGCCTTGGAAAATTGTGGAAAAGCTGTTCTTTAATAAGGGTTTAATAAGGGATTGGTTCTTTTGGGAAAGGCTTGGAGTTTGAATTTGGCAATTGCCTTTCGAAAAGGCTTGCTTCCCTTCTGGGCTTTCAGGGGCTGCTCTGGCACAGCTTGCTGCAATAGTGAACCCAGCAAACAAACCTACTAAAGTGAAATGGAGCCTCTTCTGGTCCAGGGCCTTGGAAAATTGTGGAAAAGCTGTTCTTTGATAAGGGTTTAATAAGGGATTGGCTCCTTTGGGAAAGGCTTGGGGTTTGAATTTGGCAATTTTGGCAAAGGCTTGCTTCCCTTCTGGGCTTCCAGGGGCTGCTCTGGCACAGCTTGCTGCAATAGTGAACCCAGCAAACAAACCTACTAAAGTGAAATGGAGCCTCTCCTGGCCCAGGGCCTTGGAAGATTGTGGAAAAGCTGTTCTTTAATAAGGGTTTAATAAGGGATTGGTTCTTTTGGGAAAGGCTTGGAGTTTGAATTTGGCAATTTTGGAAAAGGCTGGCTTCCCTTCTGGGCTTCCAGGGGCTGCTCTGGCACAGCTTGCTGCAATAGTGAACCCAGCAAACAAACCTACTAAAGTGAAATGGAGCCTCTCCTGGTCCAGGGCCTTGGAAAATTGTTGAAAAGCTGTTCTTTAATAAGGGTTTAATAAGGGATTGGCTCCTTTGGGAAAGGCTTGGAGTTTGAATTTGGCAATTGCCTTTGGAAAAGGCTTGCTTCTCTTCTGGGCTTCCAGGAGCTGCTCTGGCACAGCTTGCTGCAATTGTGAACCCAGCAAACAAACCTACTAAAGTGAAATGAAGCCTCTCCTGGTCCAGGGCCTTGGAAAATTGTGGAAAAGCTGTTCTTTAATAAGGGTTTAATAAGGGTTTGGTTCTTTTGGGAAAGGCTTGGAGTTTGAATTTGGCAATTTTGGAAAAGGCTTGCTTCCCTTCTGGGCTTCCAGGGGCTGCTCTGGCACAGCTTGCTGCAATAGTGAACCCAGCAAACAAACCTACTAAAGTGAAATGGAGCCTCTTCTGGCCCAGGGCCTTGGAAAATTGTGGAAAAGCTGTTCTTTAATAAGGGTTTAATAAGGGATGGGTTCTTTTGGGAAAGGCTTGGGGTTTGAATTTGGCAATTTTGGCAAAGGCTTGCTTCGCTTCTGGGCTTCCAGGAGCTGCTCTGGCACAGCTTGCTGCAATAGTGAACCCAGCAAACAAACCTACCTTGACTGAGCTACAGCGTTTTTGAGAAAAAATGCGTCTCAGCAATTACAGTTTTTTTTGCAAAAAAAAGGGTTCTCCCAATTTTGTTTTGCCACAAAAGCGAACCCTCCAAACAATACATGAGTTTCAGAATAATTTGGAAAAAATTGCCACAATAGCGACCCTAGGTACTAATCAGGACCCAACATTAACCTTGATTAAAAAAAAATTAGAAAAATATGAAAAAATGAAAACAAAACACTGAAGTCTTTTTAAGTCAGATTGCCAAGCAGAACCATTCAGTACTAGTAATTAGTCGTACATCGTCTATGGTGGTATAGGTGCAAGAAGACAATTAAGAATGGTACCATGTTACGCGCACGCACGCACACACACACACATGTATATCCATATATTATATAATTACATACATATCCATATATAACTCTATGACTCGACGACTCATTTATACAGCATATACAATGTGGATGCATGCACATGTGATCATACATAATTACAGATTATAATTATATAATATATATTGCTATAGATATGTGTATATCCTTCAAACTTCTACGAGCAGCTCGTGTCCCCAAATGGGATGATCCGCAACTAAATGGCATGCTGGTACCACGTTCAGTTCTATCCACATATATCCACATAGATCACAGTTCATAACAGTTATATATGATTAATATCTATAAATATATAATATAATTATATACATTTTTATTTAATTATATAGAATTATAATATATATATATATATGTAGGGTTAACCAGTTACTAATTATGAGCAATGTATACGCGTAGATAGTTAAAGACAACTCAAGAATACTTACTAATTTTCCATTGGAGTCATGTACAAGTGATGGGCCTTCACACAGATGCCATCAAGAAAATGAATCTAATGCCAAGTGAAACAGAAAGAGAACAGGCAGGGGAAGGGAAGGAGGTTGACTTCAGGGAGCTATTGTTTGGAATATTTGGAACCCACCTCCTTTGAGAAACTTGGCCGAGCACCTGGTGTGACACGCTGTGACCAAGGCCATTTACTGTCGAGCACAAGGGGCTTTTTCTGGCCAGCAGTTCGTGCGGATTTCCTGTCCCTTGGGAGATCCTGGCCACCAGAGAGCGGTTGGATGATGCGGGTTGATCCAAAAATGATGGGTGCCAGCGGTGTAAAATTCACCGTGTTCCATAGGAAAAAAACATCGAACTCTGTAAGTCGGCCATGTTCTGTAGCTACGTGTATGTTGAACTACTGGAGGATAGGAAAAACTGTGATTGATAACCTTCATTCATGATCTGGGTCTGAACATGGGTGCCTCTACATCCACTGGTTCATCATGATTTTCCCAATTCAAATGGCCACTTGGATCCACTTGGCATATACCATCATATACCCCATTTTCAGACCAACCCATGTGCTGGACGGGCAAATCTTCTAATGAGCTTCGCTTGGAAGCCAACACACCCAAGGAATTTTAATGATGATCTCAGCATATCCCAACTGTCAAAAAGAATTGTCCTTTTATTTTGCTACCCTCTGGAAATCTAACATAGCTACGGCAAATGGCCTGCTTGTAGATGTTTACCTACGTACTAAACTGGCGGTTTCCCGTAACAAACTGTTAGATTCGCAGACAGATCCAGACAATAATGCGTACCTAATACATACCAATGTATACATACTATGACTTGTATCCTCCAGTAGGTTCATAGATGCTGAACCCCGCCATGGTTTCCAGATTCTGCCAGTTTTGCATATGATAAATGATGCAGTCTGACCCAAGGACCTCTCAGAGCTACCCGTCAAGGGCTCCGTTTGCTACTATGGACGCTTGGTCGCCACACTGGAGCGAGGACACATTTACGTGTGGAGAGGTGCAACGGAAAGGGGGAAGCAATCGTGAAAACTGATGTTTAAGATCGTTTAAGCGAAACATGTGAGTTTACCATCAACAATTTGAAGGGCTGGTCCATTCACTTGATGGGCGAACTGCAAGTTGAAGGGTTGATGTTGCAGTTGTCGATTGAGCAAGTATATATGATTAAATATGTCAGATCTGATGGAGAGAGAAACAACATTTTTTTGTTGGAATGCCTGAGGCTAGCCACGATGTTTCAGCTTAGCTCTGTTCCCCCATGCGGTCGGAATTGGTGGCAGGAGTAGGGTAACCGTTCATCGTCACATGTTTCATGACGTCACCATGTATTTGGTGTACAAACATGCACCCCGTGGCACCCAAGCATTATCTACCCATATCTGCCCGGCTTTTTTCTGTTGCATGGATGTAGTAAGGGTATGCCGCATACCCTTACTACATCCATGCAACAGAAAAAAGTTGGGCAGATAGGTATGCGCAAGTTTCCTTGGATGTCAGGGCAGATGTGGTTGTCACATTTGGGCGGGCGTTTTCGCTTGTTCGTGAGCATTGGCGGCACTGTGTCCAGCCAAGGAGTGATTGGAAGCACCTTCGCAGGATCTTTTGATTTGGAATTTGGAACTTACTACTGGAAGGAACAAAGTGGAAGTCAAGGCGACTTGACTTGACTGTGAGGCAGGACTTTCCCTACATCGCTGGGTATCACATGTGGTACCTTATTTCGAGACAAACCCATATGGAGGTTCTTAAAATGGTGGCATTCCGACATCATCCAAAATTAGACCATGTTAGTATTTAAATTGAAGCCTATGGTTTTGGGGTACCACCATTTTACGAAACCCCCATATGATGACATGATTTCTTTTGATACGTCGCTGTTTCATTGTCAGATACGGGTCCAGCCTCTGGAGGCTTATTTTCTCGCTGATTTGCCTGACCACACGTGGTTTTGGCTGATAGGATAACTGCCTTTTTTGGGAAATGTCCCTTCCAGGGACTGGGGATTTGTTCGCATCAGTACCCTGAACTGGACCCCCCTTTCCCGCTCTTTCCCACCTTGGTTGTGGAGTGGTGACACTTCATGACATTCTGAGGTGTCATCAACAAGCTGGATGCTGATTCTATTTCAGGGTTTAGTGGCTCTGCGACAGCACCTGTTCTGAACTTCAGCATTTGCTCTTCAAACTGCCTCAACAAAAAAAACATATTCAGTCTACCACCCTAGAAATCAATGCAGATGGAACCTGAAAAGGCGTCAGAGGCGAGCCTTTTTTTGGGATGTTTTTTTCCCGGTTCACAGGCACTGGTGAGGCCAGCATCAGGATGGGATCAGGCGGGGAAATCAGACAATCGGGTATTCAAAGTGCACACCCGGTTGTCCACACTTTGGGGATAGTCTATTATTAATCATCCCATTTGGTATTGTCCACTGGCTATATCCCATTTGGTGTGGACATTTACATAGTCTATATTTATATTATTATCTATTGATGAGGATTTCGGCATTGAGAAACCATTGGCTGACGGACCGCAAACTGGGTAAGGTCTAATGGATGTTTCGTCCTATGGCCATCAACGCGGGAATATTGGATGCCAACTTTTTGAAACTTTTCATTTTTGGCCATTTTTGGCAGTTGTGTAAGACGAACAATGGAAAGATTAAAGAGTGCATGCCTGCAGTGCCCCAAGAAGAGTGGGCTGGGAGGTCTTCAACTGACACTTTGGTCCAGATTTAATCTGAAACCACTCACATCCCGGTTTCAACATGGTTCAAACTTTGGGATTCCTCCATCAACGAGGGAAAATGGATGGCCTACGTGGTGTTGAACATGCCACCTATCTCCGACTCTGACAGGTCACAATGGCAACTGTGAACGTGGTGAACCAAAATTTGCTGAAGTCCGTGGCCGACTTTGTCATCGCGCCGGGCGAGGAAATTCCAGGTGGAAAGGCGACAGCGGCTTGGACACTATGACACTATGACTGAGAGCTAAATCCTGTAAGGCGTGCGACTTTTGTTCAAAGATACTTGCAGTGGTAATTAATAGCCACATTAGCCACATTAGCCACATTAGCCTCCAATGCCCGCTGGCCATCGATGAGGGACTGTTTTGTTTGGCCCAGATTGCAGCAGTCCTGTGCTAGAAAGTGTTGCTTGAGTAGTCCCGGCAGTTGGGATGAATCAATGGGCAACAGCATTCTTTTCTTTCCATGCAGAACTGGTAAGATGACCCATATATAGATTGGAATTGAAGACGTTGAAACCGCACTTCAACTGCTAAAAACTTGAAGGGCTAGTCTTGCTTGCGCTAGGCTATACAGCCGCGTAATTGCTAAACAAAGAAAGCCAATGAAAAACAGTACTAAAGTATATGCAGACATCTTCTTGGCACGACCCTGCGCGTGCAATGTGACGAGATGTGATGGACGCATTTTTACGGGCATGGGTTTGAGCGTAATTATTTGGGCACAGGTTGTGCCAAGGATCTCGGTAAAATCTCAATGATTGTGGAAAGCAATCAAGCAATTCAAGCGCCGCAGTGGCGTGAAGTGCGTCCAAATACGAACATCAATTACGAGTACAGTTATAAGGCTGTGTTTCGCACAAGACTAGGCACAATGCACTGCGAGAAACTGACATGATGTGACATGTTCTTGTTGGTAGCACTGTGTGGTGACAGGGTGGCGCGTGACAACCAGACACGATACATGATGCCGACGGCGACACGCTGAACTCAAGTTGCGTGTGGCGGATCCAAATGGGTAGTGGAACGGTCTGCCATGTGATCCACTGCAGCAGCATGCAAAAACAGTGCATATGCCTGTAATGAACAAGATTTTGACTGGATCTACCTTGCAAACATGATCAAAGATGTAAACTGACATGTTCATGTGATGATTGGCAGAATTATCTAGTAGCATCATTCGTCGGTGGCGCCCGAGGACCGATTTTTGGTGGCATGCCACAAAAACTTTGTTTACGTTCAAAATGTCGCTGGGGATTTGACTTTGGACTGGGCGGCTGGGAGCCAGAAAGAAACGCCCATTTATTTTACAGTAGATTTTGGATATAGTTGTTTAGTGGGGTAAATTGGGCGGACAATGCCCAATTTGATGGATATCTTGGGGTGGGAAATCACAAGACTTGGGTTTCGACCATCCCGCCGTTTTCGATCGCGTCGCTGGGTGTGGATGGGGGTTCTTGTGGCATCAAGGTGTTAAAGGTTTGCTCCAATAAACATCCAATGGGTTTTATCCAAAAAAGGCGGTTGGCGGTTAACTCATGATAGCTCCACATGGGTCCACGCGGCGAGTTGAATGATGACAAACTTGAGAAATGATTTGGGGGTGCCATATGGCCATATGAATATCTTTTATTTTTTACGACATCCTCACATTCCAGATTTCCCTTGAACCAATCACTTCAGTACTGTAGTTCTCCGATTTCTCCGCATCTGTGTTTCCCTAAAAGGTGAGGAGAGCCTTCCCTTTGAACCAAGCACTTTCTGGATCTGGATGGAACATTCTGGGACCATGCCTTGCTGCCTTGATATTAGGTCAACTTTACTGGTACTGCGCCTGCCACACAGCGCTATCTGATGGAAGGCGGTGCGATCGATTCGATGTTGTTTCGAAGGAGTTTTCCCATCAAAACATTGGACTTTCCCAGTGCCAGAATAGGTCAGAGATGACCAGAGCTCTAGACTCTAGATTCTCTAGATACTCTAGATACTCTAGATTTAGATAAACTGACTGGTGTTTTTGTGATTCTGAATGGCAAAATGATATCAAATGATACATATTTTTTGTGTGAAAAAACAGCTTCGGAACTGGACAGGCGCCAATCCTAAGGGATCATCCGGTGCACAATGGTCCTTCAAAGGTCGTGGCCTGAGTCGGGCCCTGTCTGTTCGCCCTGTCGATGGTTTTTGGAGGCTTTTTGAGTAAACAAAAGAGCATATAATCAATATATAATATACATTTATATATATAATATAATCAGCAACATATAAGAAATTTAAAGATCATTGAAGTGGCTTTGGGTATGTTTGGGTTCTTGAAGATTTGGGGTCATCAGACTCAGGGGCCCTATCACGGGTCGAGAATTTCAGTGGATGAGTCCTTGATGTCCTTTGATCTCCTAGGATCATTTGAAACATTTGGGTGCCTTCCAAGACATGTTGTATATATATATGTATATAATTATGCAACACGACTTTTGAGTGGATGGAACTATGATGGAACATGATAAAACCGCCATCGAGGGATAGTAGGGATATTGATGGAAGACCTCCCCAATTAAACAACCTGAAAGAAATTGATGGCAAGCAGAATGCCAACCCGGCAAAACTTACCGCCCTTCTTTCCCAGAGAACAACTATCATGGACCTCCAAAGCCAGGTGAGCAATGCGCAAAACCACTGTTGACTGATGGTTATATTGGGTATTATCGCCTGGCTGAATGAGGGGATACTACTAGGACAGGTGGCATCCCTACCTGCTGAAGAGGCACCGCTTAGGTGAAATTTATTGTGCCTACAACCACAAGGATCATGGCTCTCCAGCTGCAGAAAGTGATTTGCAGCGAGTTGAAAATCGTGCCAGTCCATACGTCAGAGGCCCCGAACACATCAACGTCTTTGAAAATTGCTTGGATGTACTGTAGACTAAAAAAGAAAATAGACACATACAGTAGACATAACTAAAAGTACTGTTCCCTCGAGTTGATGATCCTATGATGCTATGAACTTACAATCAATCCAGCATCACCACCAAGCAGACCTTGTATTGCAAGCGCCATGCGGCCCAAGGAGTGTATTTCGTCAATCTTAGTGCCATTGCGGATGGAAAGAACCTCTGAGATTTTATTTATCAGAAGGCTTTGAGATTTTTGGAGCTTTCGTGAAAGCCGCCATTGTTTCATCTAAGTTTTTGAATGGTTATCCTTCACATCGTTTGACATTAGCCAGTCCAGGATCCCAGCGGGATACGTCAGTCCGTCTCAAGAAACCAGTTCGAATGATGGGATGAATTGCCTGAATGCTACAAGTCCCTTTCCGGAACCTATCTACACCACCACCACAACGACGACCACGACAACGACGACCACTACAACGACCACCCCTATCCCACAAGTTCGATGTCAACTGCTCCTGAATTGATCAACATTTTATGAAGACAGTGGCATCAGTGCCTGATGATCCAACCTGGTCCTTTTAAAATGACACGGCACCACAAATTTGGTTCTTTTTTGAGCATTGAGTGCATCTTCCCAGTGACCAGGACTTTTGTTCCATCGTTCCCAAGTGGGTTAAACGGTTAAACCCCCCTCTAATTGGACTACATTGAGGACATGCAATGATATACATCAGTTGAATCTTGAGAATGCCTGCATATTCCCAAACAGAAACCCTTTTACCTCGGCTATTCGTTGCTCAACTCTATTAAAAAGTCAATTTTGATCAATTTTGTTGGTCAAAGGCACGGACTCGCTGATAAAGCGATTCCAGATCCAGGGACCCAGGAATTTGGAACTGCCAGAGGTATCCGTGGCCAGGGGGATTGGACTCTGGCAGATGCCTCTGCGGGGAGTCTGCAGGCAGGTGATTCAGTGGGAGCGGTGAGCTGAACTACAGGAAGCAGGCAAAAGAGCTACGTCGAATTGAGTTTCCAACAATATGATAGTTAATCAGATTTTTTTCAGAGATTAAGGTTTTGCAGCCGATAAGGGGCCTTTGGAATTTGATTCTAGGGTCCTTGGTGATTTAGTTCTACCTCTGATTGTGTGATAATATATGTTTTCATATGTTTTCCAATATTTATTTCTCTATCTATTTTATTTATCAAGGTAGGTGGCCTTGGTATATACTAGTGAAATTTATCCCAACGGAAAAATCGTATTGGCTTAGTGTCCCTTGGATGTTTCAATATTGATATCAATTCTTATCCGTCATTCGGTAGTCATGACAAGAAAGGGATTGATAATTAGCCTCTCCATCCATTTACCCTTCTACTCGTGGAAGTACCAGTCAGAACAAACGATCACCATTCGATCGTAGTTTAGTTTAGATATGTTTTTTGTTTTAGTTGAGTACTTAGACTTAGATAATAAAATAAATTATTATTATAAAATATTATTATGCGACGGATTTGCGGGGGCGATGGATTTGGGGTTCGCCGAGCCAAAAGATCCGCATTTTTTTTGCCCAAATCTCAAATGAAGGACCCCGAATCCATTGCGGGAAAAATCATGCTAGAATATAGTATTAAGGCTGTTTCCTATGTCCACATGCAAATTTCTGCACCCTGACATCGGCAAAATAAAAAAATCCTAAATCCCAGGATACAACCTCCGTATTGCCCAAGTCTAGATGCAGAAACCTGCACCTTGACTTAGGCAATACCCCACCAAGCACCTAGGATATCGTCATTTTTTTTTTTTGCCTAAGTCAGGGTGCAGATTTCTGCACCCTGAGTTCGGCAAAATTATAATTGGACATTGCATTTTCAAAGGAAAATAATCTGATGTAGACGTAGAAAAATTGGGAAAATTAGTACTTCAAAAAACGAGTGATCATCAAGGATAATATTGGTGGCTTTATACCAAAGATATATGGGGGCACCACCCCAGAAGAAACATGAGCGTGGTTGATACCTATTCCATTTTAATCCAGCAATTGGTCGGGTACCCTTCAAGGGAAATAGTAGTGGACCCCTGAAAATCCAAAGAATATGATAGAAAAAAAAATGTAACCGATACTGGGATGATACCAATTTAATCAACAAATTGGTTGCCTAAGAGTGAAAATAATAATGCACATATGAGTATCCATGAACATGGTAGAAAACACGTACTGTAGATACATTAAATAACCGATGGTAAGATGATACCCATTTAATCAATCAATTGGTTACCTCATAGGGGACATAATTAATAAGCTACCTACAATGCAATTCAATTCCACCATATATATAATATTTGGAAAGATCCAAGAATTCATTTCCAGAGACCCCAGATCAATTACAAAACCTTCAGATGTTCAATCCTTTTAAAGCAGCAGACATGGACATCCGGACGAATTACGGAAGTTTGCATGTACTGCAACTGAGTTCACAGAAATGAAGAAGTTTCAGTTTCATCAACATTTCACAGGATCATGATCTCAAAAAATGGTAGAATCTGGTCGAAAATCACCGAAAATCAATTAGCTTAGAGCACTGGCAGGTGGGTAAGGAGATATATCCAGGGGTGACCCTGGTGGACTTCCGTCCAGGCGCGGGATGGGCAATCGAACGTTGGAAAAAACAGGTGGTTGTTGATTTCCCAGCTGCTAACCATGTCACTGATCTAATCTCAGAAAATCCTGGTTGATCTGGTTGCAGTGTGATGATGGATATGATTCTATAATATATATTTTATATAGTTATATAGTTATATATATATATATATTGTACCAGTAGTACCCGCACGAGGCGGGGCGGAAGTTGCCTTAGGGATATGCTATAAGACCTTTTTCATCTATAGAATTTGCATGCGCCGTGCGCCAGCCAGGCCCGTGCGTGCGTGCTTTGTGCAAAGCTGTTGCAATGTTGTTGTCCAGGAACATGACCTGCACGCGACCCCGGTGCAATGCAACGCCAAGCGATGACTTTCCTCACACTTAACACTGCACTCTTCACACCCTGCACTTCGCACTTCACACTTGCACTTCGCACTCGACACTTGATCTCACCTCAAATCAAGTGAGCTCTTCTCACCTCATCTCAGCTCTTCTCATTTCATCCCATCTCTTCTCACATGTCATCAAAGTAAGTTCTTCTCAACTGTTTTCATCTCATCCGAGCACTGATCAACCTTTCTCATCTCCTCGAAGTTCGTCTCAACTCATCTTAGCTGTTCTGCACGCCAGAAAGCTCTTTCTGTCAGAGAGAAGTCTCTTGCAAAAAAAACATTGGGTGCAGAAAGTTTTTGCACACAGACACTGGAGACGCAGATGCATGTACATACGTTACAAAAGCCTTCCCGAAAAACTTTGTACTACAAAGCTTGCACAAAGCACTTCCCAACACTACTTTGTAATACAAAGCTTGCACAAAGCACGTTCCAGTACTACTATATATACTTGTACTACAAAGCTTGCACAAAGCACTTCCCAGTACTACTTTGTACTACAAAGCTTGCACAAAGCACTTCCCAGTACTACTTTGTACTACAAAGCTTGCACAAAGCACTTCCCAGCACTACTTTGTACTACAAAGCTTGCACAAAGCGCGTTCCAGTACTACTTGTACTACAAAGCTTGCACAAAGCACTTCCCAGCACTACTTTGTACTACAAAGCTTCCACAAAGAACGTTCCAGTACTACATTGTACTATAAAGCTTGCACAAACCACTTCCCAGTACTACTTTGCACTACAAAGCTTGCACAGTGCACGTTCCAGTGCTACTACTTGTACTACAAAGCTTGCACAAAGCACTTCCCAGTACTACTTTTTTTGTACTACAAAGCTTGCGCAAAGCACTTCCCAGTACTACTTTGTACATCTTTGTACTACAAAGCTTGCACAAAGCACTTCCCAGTACTACTTTGTACTAAAAAGCTTGCACAAAGCACTTCCCAGCACTACTTTGTACTACAAAGCTTGCACAAAGCACTTCCCAGTACTACTTTGTACATCTTTGTACTACAAAGCTTGCACAAAGCACTTCCCAGTACTACTTTGTACTACAAAGCTTGCACAATGCACGTTCCAGTACTACTACTTGTACTACAAAGCTTGCACAAAGCACTTCCCAGTACTACTTTGTACTACAAAGCTTGCACAGTGCACGTTCCAGTACTACTACTTGTACTATAAAGCTTGCACAAGCCACTTCCCAGTACTACTTTTTGTACTACAAAGCTTGCACAAAGCACGTTCCAGTACTACTTTGTACTACAAGGCTTGCACAAAGCACTTCCCAGTACCACTTTGTACCACGAAGATTTTACACACAGCAAGCTTTTACTCATAGAAGCTTTTACACACAACAAGCTTTTATACGGAGAAGCTTTTAAACACAGCAAGCGTTTACACACAGAACGCTTTACACAGAGTGCTTTTTTACACATGGCAAGCGTTTACACACTCAGAAGCTTTTACACAGAGAAGCTTTTACACACAGAGAAGCCTTTACACACAGCAAGCTTTTACTTTTACACAAAATCTTTTACACACAGGAAGCTTTTACAGAAAAAAGTTTTCCACGGAGAAGCTTTCTTGTACACAACCACAGCAGGAATTGCAGGTAGAAAGCCAGATGGATCCTGGCGCCAAAGCAAAAAAAAAAAGGCGATTTTGAAGCACTTTTTAAATGAACTTTTAAAAGGAAAATTGCTAACGCCAAAATTGAGAAAATCTACTGACAAATCACTGTCGCAGCCTTGTTGCAGCCACTCCAATACTATTTACGAGATCCAGCTGCAAGAGACAATAGTATTACGCATGCAGCCGCGGCACCAAGCAATCTTGACGCAGCCACTACCGTGCGATCTGCAGTACCTTTCATCGCCGGCTGCAACCGCTTTTCACGGAAAAACGCACGGTTTCGTGCTCCGGCTTCCTCCCCAACACAAGCCCCATGCAACGTTCATGCAGCCATGACAATGCATTTTGCAGCATGATGTGGCTAACCCGCATGTATCTACGCAAATGGCAACACCAGATGACAACAATCATGCAGCCATTCCAATGCGATCTGCAACCACAGATTCAAGAGACGCATAGAACTACGCACACAGACACAACCACTCGTTGCAGAACACAGAGGAGGAACCAATTCGCGGATGAAACGACCCCAGCCGCACCCGCCGCACACAGGAGGTACCTTTCATCGCCGGCTGAAACCACTTTTCACGGAAAAACGCACGGTTTCGTGCTCCGGCTTCCTCCCCAACACAAGCCCCATGCAACGTTCATGCAGCCATCAGCATGATGTGGCTCACCCGCATGTATCTACGCACATGGCCATACAGATGACAACAATCATGTAGCTATTCCAATGCGATCTGCAACCACAGATTCAAGAGACGCATAGAACTACGTACACAGACACAACCACTCGTTGCAGAACACAGAGGAGGAACCAATTCGCGGATGAAACGACCCCAGCCGCACCCGCCGCACACAGGAGGTACCTTTCATCGCCGGCTGAAACCACTTTTCACGGAAAAACGCACGGTTTCGTGCTCCGGCTTCCTCCCCAACACAAGCCCCATGCAACGTTCATGCAGCCATCAGCATGATGTGGCTCACCCGCATGTATCTACGCACATGGCCATACAGATGACAACAATCATGTAGCTATTCCAATGCGATCTGCAACCACAGATTCAAGAGACGCATAGAACTACGTACACAGACACAACCACTCGTTGCAGAACACAGAGGAGGAACCAATTCGCGGATGAAACGACCCCAGCCGCACCCGCCGCACACAGGAGGTACCTTTCATCGCCGGCTGCAACCACTTTACACGGAAAAACGCACGGTTTCGTGCTCCGGCTTCCTCCCCTACGCAAGCCCCATGCAACGTTCATGCAGCCATCACAATGCATTTTGCAGCATGAGGTGGTCCCACGCAACATCACTTCCCTTTGTCACCACTTCCCAAAGCCACCATTTCCCTAGGTCAACACTTCCCTTAGTCGCCACTTCCGAAAGTCACCATACACCCTTCGTCGCCACTTCCCTTCGTCAACACTTCCCTTAGTCACCACTTCCCAAAGTCACCACACTCCCTTCATCACCACTCCCCTTCGTCACCACTTACCTTCCTCACCGCTTCCCTTCGTCACCACTTCCCTTAGTCACCACTTCCCTTCGTCACCATTTACCTTCATCACCACTTCCCTTCGTCACCACTTCCCTTCCTCACCACTTCCCTTCGTCACCACGCTGTGTCATAGCCTATTTATTCTTTTGTGATGTAACAATACATTATGTGATGTCAAGTCTCACACCGCCCTTCATCAACGTCAAGTCTCACAATTCTATTTGTCCGTAACTCGGAAGATTGCTTCCCAACTTCCTTGGATGAGATATGGTTGGCTAATACCTACATTTTCATTTACATTATTCTCAAATGCTGACTGGGGAAAAGGGAATGACACCTCGGAGTCCTTGGGGAACTTGAAGGTAGAAGCGTGACAAACCTTGGAAAAGGATGAAGGAAAAAAGGAATCTGGTAATGCTTGGGTTTCAGCTTGATCCTGAACTTATTTTTTGGGTACATCAATATGAAGATGCTAGGGTCGGCAATATTGCTTGGAATTCGCGGGCACTCTTTGGCAGAGGTGGCAACGCAGAGTGCACCAACGCCGCTATCTTCTCTCCGGAGCCGAATTCGTGGAGGGATGGGCAGTGGCGGAATTTCATGAAAATCTAGAGGTCTCTCCCCTGGATTTGCTGAAAATGTTTTTTTCCCCAATGGACAAATCCACCATTTGGGGAACCTATAGGGAAGTATGTCTTATCCTTGTGGGACCCCTTAAGCAAATCCATGTCATGGTTTGAAGAGCTGTAATTACTCAGAACAAACATTCTGGTTAATGGTGGTTGAACATTGTTGAGAGAGGTCGGATTTGGCTACGGATTGATTTTCCCATTCAAAGGCACGACCCACGTTTATTCTTGGTCAATGAACCCGACAAAAATTTGGGCATGGACGCTAGGAGGAGTTCTCAAGGGTCTCGCTGTCTTGCTGGCTTGGAATCTGATCGCTTCCGATCAAGTTAAACGTTAGGAACATTAAAGACATTTAAGTTAAGGGCATAATCGTGTCATATTATGTCAGATTATCAGACGATATCATACTAACCGATAGCTCTATTACATCCTCCCTTCATTTTCATCAGCTGACAGCTTCGTTTTTCGAACAGGGACTCCGCAAAACCCGCAGGAGAATGGAGGAGACGGCGAGGACGAGAGCGATCTGAAGCAGTGCGTGTGCAACCTGATAGTGGCGCAGAAAGATGGCCCTAAAAGCACGGTGATGCTTAGCAGCAATGCCCAGGTCGTCCCAGGTTTTGCGAATAGAATATAAGCACGCAGGTGTATATGTGTGTATTTATGTATGTAATGTAACATTATGTTATATATGTTATGTAAGTATGTAATGTAATGTAATGCAATGTAATGTAATGTAAAGTAATTATATTATATGAACATATGTGATAGGATATGATTTGATATGATATGATATGTTATGTAAGTAGGTAAGTAAGTCAGTAAGTAAGTAAGTATGTAATGTCATGTAATGTAATGTTATGCTTTCTGTTATGTAAGTAAGTAATGTAATGTTATCTTATGTAATGTTTTGCTATGTATGTAAGCAAGAATGTAATGCACTGTAATGTAATGCTTTGTTATGTTAGGTAAGTAAGTTAGTAATGTAATGTAATTAATGTAATGTTATAATATGGTAAGTAAGTAAGTATGTAATGTAATGTTATGTTTTGTTTTGTTAAGTAAGAATGTAATGTGATGTGATGTGATGTGATGTAATGTAATGTAATGGCATGTATGTAATGTATGTTATGCTATGTTTTGTATTGTTTTGTAATGTATGTATGTATGTATGTATGTATGTATGCATGCGTGTTATGTTATGTTTTGTAATGTTGTGTTCGGCTATGTTTTGTAATGTTGTGTTCGGTTATGATTTGTTTTGTTATGTTATGCATGCATGCATGTTTAAATGTAATTTAATTTAATGAAATGAATGAAATGTAATGTATGTAATGTATGTAATGTATGTAATGCATGTAATGTATATAATGTATGTAATGTATGTATGGGTGGATGGATGGATGGATGGGTGTATGGATGTATGGATGTACGGATGGATGTATGGATGTATGGTATGTATGGCATGTATGGCATGTGTATGGTTGGTATGTAATGTAATGTACTGTGAATGCGAATGTGAATGTGAATGTGAATGTAATGTACTGTATGCAATGTAATGTAATGTAATGCAATGCAATGTAATGTATGTTATGTTATGTGTTGTTATGTTATGTGTGTAATGTTGTGTATTGTATGTATGCTATGTAGGTTAATTATGTTGGTTATGTGTTGTATGTTATGTATGTTTTGTATGTTATGTTATGTTTTGTTTTGTTTTGTTATGTGATGTGATGTGATGGAATGTCTGTGTCTGTCTGTGTCTGTCTGTGTCTGTCTCTGTCTGTCTCTGTCTGTCTCTGTTTGTCTCTGTCTGCCTCTGTCTGCCTCTGTCTGCCTCTGTCTGCCTCTGTCTGTCTCTGTCTGTCTGTGTCTGTCTGTGTCTGTCTGTGTCTGTCTGTGTCTGTCTCTGTCTGTCTCTGTCTGTCTCTGTCTGTCTCTGTTTGTCTGTGTCTGTCTGTGTCTGTCTGTGTCTGTCTCTGTCTGTCTGTGTCTGTCTCTGTCTGTCTCTGTCTGTCTCTGTCTGTCTCTGTCTGTCTCTGTGTGTGCGTATGTGATTCTCTACATACAATCGCACACATACATATATGATTCTAAACCTGCTTGTGTCTGTATCTACAATATACGCGTGCATTGCTGGTATGTATTTGCTTTGGTGGGATGGATTTCATAGCTGTATACTATAATCTGGACCCCCTATCAACTCGGCGACAGGAAGGTGGGGGGGGAACTTGAAGATCTGATTGAAACACCGGCGATCAAGAAAATTCCCTTCCCCCTGATATCAAATACCTGCTTAGAAACCAGTATTGGATTTGTTTAGCAAGGGGCCCCTTACTGGTGGAATGTACTCTCGGGTAAGGGATGATTCATCCTGCTTATCCCCAAACTTGACTTTGATTTTAAATATATGTTTTAAGACGAGCCGCTTCGCTAGGAATGTGTGTAGCCCCACTACGACCAGAGCCGAAGTGGTTCTCCAGTTCGAGTCTTGGCAGCACTCAAGTCATCAGCAGTTGGAATGGGATGGACTTGCATGGTGATTGCATAATGAAAGGCTTGAGGAAGTCTCCTCAGACCGACCCCGGAGCAACCAGGAAGTTCTTCAATTCATTTCAATTCCACCTCGCTGCACAATGCGACTTGTACCATTGTCATTCATTGTCTGGCTTTGTGGTTTGCATTTTTAGGATCCAGATATTTCAATGACAGGTGGTTTGGAAAACCACGTGGTCCCCTTGCCAGAGTGCTCTTTCTCAGTGGAAGCCTCTCTCTCCAATGTGAGACCCTTCAGCTACAGCCCACCTGACAATCGCAAAAGTCATCAAAAGTCCAATCTGAAGGGAAACATCGTGACATATCACCTAGCAGGATCCGATATGATTCTTATTATCCAAACTAATATATCCTCATATTAAGGGATGATATGTTCTATGGATATTTCTATGGGATTTCTCCTTTTCCTCCTTTCCCCGGGGGAAAGGTCTCGCAGCTTCAGGACGTGCCCCAGCGGATCACAGGATTTGAGATGTGGAACACTCGCCAAGCAATCCTGACCACACAATTCAGGCAGCCCGGCAGCCGTGCTTGGCTCCGACAGGATCGTTTAAATAAAAAAACCAACCACCTAGTGGGTCCAGCCCATGCTTGAACCAAATATTAAGATGAGTGCAAAAAACAAACATAGTTTATCATTATTACTATTATTATTGCTATTACTATTCTTCTTCTTCTTCTCATTATTATTTTTTATTAGTATTATATGTATTATTATTATATATACACAAATTACACCGGCGGCAAGAAGCCCCAAACAGTGTGGTGGGTAGGAGGTCAAAGTACGATATACAAGCAACAGTAGCTATGAAACAGTAACAGGTCAGGTTAGACATTATCGGAACTGCAGCATCAGCAGCAGGAATTTGTTTTGGCGCAAGAAGTAACGCTATGTCTACTCATCAGGACTTCATACCAGAACCTCATACCAAGACATCTAAGAGAATTTCATAAGGTCGTCAAAAAAGGACCTTCTATATAGAGTATCTCACAAGATCTTCATACAAGAACTTCCTACGAACACCCCAAAAGAACTGTCATACAAGCACCCATGCAGAGCATCTTCAAGATCCTAATGCAAGCAAATGCAAGGACCTTTTGACGGATGAATTCAGCAGGATCTCCGCAAGATCTTCTCACAAGGACCTGTACGAGATCATGCAAGGACCTCTTAGGGGATTTCACCAGGATCCCTACAAGAGCTTCCCACCAGGAATTCGGGAGGATCTGAGCAGGATCCCCACAATCTGAAAATGACCTGTGCAAGATCATCCAAGAACCTCTTAGAGAGGACTTCACTAGGATCTCCACAAGGTCTTCTTAGAAGCACCTGTGCAAGCTCATGCAAGGACCCCTTTCAGGATGCCAGCAGGATCTTCATTAGAGATCTTCTCATTAGGTCCTGGACAAGATCATGCAAGGCCTCTGGCAGGAGTTTATCACCATCTTCACAACATCTTCCCACAAGGACCTCTACAAGACCTTGGTCAAGGTCTGCATATATGACGGACCTCTAAAACTGCACCATGAAACATGAAACTCTTGCAAGATCGGCATAGAAGAGCATTCCAGAGACCTCAATAAGATCTCTTTACCAGAATCTCAGCTCAGGGAATCAGCTAAAGTCAGCACCGCGCCACAAGGAGACGATAGCAAAATTGGCCCCGCGCCACAACAAGAGCGATCCGACAGGCGCCAAGTGCCGAGCCACCATCCAACACGCACAAAGTGCCGAAAGGCTTGCGAAGTGCCGAGAGGGTGGCGGGCGGTATCAAAATTCGCCCGGCGCCACAAGGAGAGCGATCCGACACGCGCCAAGTGCTGAGAGGGTTGCGCGAGCGATATCAAAATTCGCACCGCGCCACCATCCAACACGCACAAAGTACCGAGAGGCTTGCGGAGTGCCGAGAGGGTGGCGAGCGATTTCTCCCCGCGTCACAACGAGAGCGATCCAACGCGACGTGACAAGAGGGTTGCGCGAGCACATGTTAGTTTTTTTCACACAACATTGCGCGCGCCACGAAACATGAAGATTGAAAATGTATGAAAATGTCAAAAGCATTCAAAAGCGATGTTTTACCTAGGTCTCAGTCACTTCTTTGCCGAGGTCTACAAGGTACTGCGCCTGCCACGAAAAATGAGTCCGAGGCATCCGAAGTCCGAAGTGCCGCACCTGCCACACGGAATCATCATCATGTCCAAAAATCAAAAATGACGGCAGTTTCACAAAACGAGGCCTTCGACCCTTAAAACGACGTCCAAAAGCACCTCTCATTTTGACCCAGGCGTGCCAACGTTTTGGCAACGCCGAGAAAGTGCCACGCCTGCCACATGGATGAAAAAGTGTCCGATGTCCCGCACCTGTCACGCAAAACGACGTTTTGGACCTCAAAGTGTCCTAGATGGCCACATGAAATGGACAGCTTGAAAAACGAGCACGGCGCGCTGGTAAAACTACGCCTTCGGAAGAGTCAAAGCCGTTCACATGCACATGGACATCTCACAAAGGAACTTTATGCGAGAATTTACAGTGAAAAAGCCGGGGACCAGAGAGGGTACCCTGATCTAACCCTGGCCTTTTTGCTCCTACCAAGAACCCCTCAGTGTGGACACACCGTTTGGGAAACAAAGCTTAAAGATATCTTTGAAAACTAGAGTCGGATAGCAGGCGTTCCACCCAATAGTCGCCCAAGAGATTCGGTGGTCTTGCGGCCGCTTCCTTTATATATTTTTTGGTAGCCGGTCCAGTTTCCGGCCTGTGTGCGTCCAACCATCAGAAAGTCAAGAATCCATTGTTTTCAATTACCATCCTCTTGGAAGATTAGTT